AAAAAAAAAAAAAAAAAAAAAAAAAAAAAAAAAAAAAAAAAAAACTGATTATCAAGCAACAATGTGGAAGCAAATTAGGGCACACACACTTACTTATCACACATACTTAAAAACACTTACCTATTTAAACTAGAATATAGCTTTTAATGGACGGAAATAAAAGACATTATTGACCATCAGTATTACTAAAAACGTAATATTATGATTCTAATGTATCTGTTGTCTTTTTTTGTTATTCACTGTGTATGGTTTGTACTTTTCTGGTATCCCATTTATAACAATGCATCGATGAGAACAGGTAAAAGTGACAATGTACCATTAGGAGCTGAATAAACTATCATAATCATAACTATTATTATTATTATCATTATTATTCTGAAATGGTTTTGATGTGAAGTCTTTATTGTCTTTGACAAATTCTTAATAGCATACATGTAGCATAAGGGGAATTCAACAAACAAATAAAAATCTACTTTACATCAATAATAATTGTGACAAGTTTTAATGACACAGGCTAGTAAAAAGTAAAGTGGATACAGCAAGTATCTTTCTTTTATTAAAAATTAGTCTCTCCATCCTGAATTTTTAGGTCTATGTTCTCACAGGAATGTAGGTCAAATTGGTCCTCAGTCATTATCTGAAAACAAATTAAGAGATTATAACAGAATACAGCCATCAATGGAGGTCACGTGGTCTGAAGACAAACTCTGATATCAGAATAATAGCTATAACTGCCGTTTTTGTGGTAAAACAAAATATATTATATTTCTATGAGTTATTCACAATGTTTTTATTGTGAAATATAGATCTCATACAAAGAGTTATTATCCCTTTAAAATAAAAAAAATTATCATTTTAATATGGAAATGAAAAGTAACCCACCTCACAGCTGCTAGTATTACAGCTAATTTACAAAACCTTATTTGTAACTTTAACACCATTTTGAAATTGTGATGATTTATTCCACTGAGACAAAAGTTTTTTTCGTCCATAGCAGAAAATGTGTTACCAAATATGCAACATAATAATAATAATAATAATAATAATAATAATAATAATAATAATAATAATAATACCTTCCACAAAGGCCCCATCTGCCATGACCAGTTGTAAAATCTTTGGATATAAATGCTCCTTGCTATGGCCCAGGATAGTAGTGACTATTTTCTGTCCATCTTCTATATTCTCATCCTCATCTTCATGGATTGCCTAAATGACCAAACAATAAGACATCTGCACAATTTTGTTTTCTTTTTGTATCAAAATTAAGCAAGTTTCCTTTAATTTCCAGAAAACCATTGTGCTTATCTTTGAAATGTCAAAAAAATGTCAAATTCAAATATTCACAACTTGGGGGTCCGACTTATATTTACTTATTTTCTTACGTGTGTGTGCATGTGTGTGTGTGTGTGTGTGTGTGTGTGTGCACGCACGTGTGCATGTGTGTGCACACAGCTGTCTCTCCACTCACCTGTACTGTCTGATAAGCCTTCAAGAAGGTATCACAGCCCAGTTCTTCTTCCAGCTGAATCCTAGACTCTTCTAACCTGCTGAAGATATCCTCTTCTTCCTCCTCCTCTTCTTCTGTGTGCTTATGCTTAACTTTGTGTTCCTTGCCTTCTGCATCAGCATCATCTATGTCATTTTCACTATTTTCATCTTCATCATCATCATCATCTATCAGAGAATTAACAAAAAAAAGCCATCAGCCATTTAAAGTACCAATAAAGTGTGTATTCCTTTAAACTTGCTGATTAAAATACTTGCCGATTTACATTTCTCACCATAGTTTTTCCCCCAATTTTATTAACAAAAGTCAAAGACTGGTTGAATTTCCCTACTACTATAATAGAAAGCACTCCAAAAACACAAACCTCCATCAAGGAAAAGTGCAATTAAAAAGAAATAATTTTTAAAATTTTAGGAGACCCAGATTCACCAATAACAATATGTTGTATCTCTTCAGAAAAGAAGTCCAATATGAAAACTCTATTAAATTTTGTAAAGAACTTATGAAGATGTAATGCTAACAAACACCCACACCAAACCAATGCCATTGAAAACATGAACTTCCTTCATTGGCATAGGTAATGAGCTAATCTCAGCAGTCTTGATTTAAATCATAAACCTGGGCTAGCATGGGAACTGTCTTGTCCATTCCCAGACACACAAGTTATATTTCTTAAAATTTCAAATCAGATCCAGACCAAATCTGCTCTGTCTAATGTTTCCCCACCTGATTCCCAAGCTTCCCTGACAGGGTCTATAGTACCCACTATGTCTCCTGTGGCGCCATCTTCATTAGTGTCAATGGTTTCGACATCATCTTCTGTGCTGTCTGTCTCTGCTTTAGCTTTTCTTGGAGAAGCTTTTTTCTTTGGGGACTGCTTCTTTGGTTCTTTCTCACCTGCAAAAGGAACAAAAATTGATCTGCAAATCTTACTGTTTTTCTCTCTTAATCATTTGAAATAGATTCCTGTAATAATTATCAAATGTAAATTTCAAAACTCTACAAAAACTTCCAAATCTGGTCTGAGAACTTGTGCATTGAACACAGAGAGCAAAACATAACACATAATTGCTCTGACATTGAAGGATAACGAATCTTCATTTTGGCATAATCAGGCCATAAAGCAGATTTTCCTGGGGTAAAAGACAATGCTCCCATACTTACCAATAATGAATCCGTTCTGACATCCAAAGTTAGTACATTTTTATGTGTTTTTTTTTTTGTAATAATCTCTTCAAAGATTATTAAAGAGTGTAGACATCTACGAAAGGTCCATGTGGTCTGATGAGAGGCAAAGATTTCAGAATAATTGCGATATCCACTGTTTTGGTGGTAAAATGGAATTAATTACATTTTTATGTGTTGTTTACAATGTATTTATTTTGGAATTCTGAATTTCACATGAAGACTTGTAATCCCTTCAACAAAAAGCTGAACAGTCACACACCTCTAAGAATTCTTGCCAAAGATTCCCTCATGCTTCTGAGTTCTTCCTCCTCTTCTAAATTCAGTGCCTCAGGGCTGAAACAACAAGTTCATATGCTTAGTGTGGTGGCAATAAATTATTTGCAGTAAAAACTGACATAAAATATACAAGCTTTCAAAACTTTGGATTTCAATTATCTGTAAATCATATTTTAAGTTATCCAAGACAACTAAACTGAGCACAAAGTTGGTGAGTTAAATAATTCATATTTTAAAAGTTATGCTTAACATGAGTCTACCATTACTTTTGACTACATAGTTTCCGGTACTGTAATTTGTAACAAGCTACACAAATCCACTCCCTACCTCTTCATGTCATCTTCCAGTTCCACATCATCATCATCAACATTCTCTTCCTCATCATCCAAGTCCACTTCTTCTATATCCTGAAGTAAGCGAGAAAAATTGTATTTTTTTTTTTGTCTTTCAACTTCACTGCACACCTCTTGTATAATAATGGTAAAAAGTGTTATACTTTGAATTATTACTGTAAATTTAGGTATTAAAATAACAAGGTTTTTCTTTCCTCGTGTTTACAAGTAACCCCCAGGGAAGTGGGCTAATACAGACGTAGGTGATGACCATGTGCCAAGAGCCGTAAATAATTTCTAAAGAGACCAAACAAGATTTTCTACACCTATAAGGCACAATTTAACTTCTAGAACTCACATCAACAAGTCAGTCATGTGATCCAAGTTTGATGAAGAGTTGAAACCACATGCTTTAGAGGTTAAAGAAAGTCTCAATAAATCTCCTACACTAGCACACTTGATTTGGTCTTTAAGTGCAATGTTAGATTTCAAATGATCATATATGGTCTTAATCATTATAGCAATAGTCTTAAAATGGACTGAGTCAACTTTCAAGATCAAATATGATATCACATCTACTTAAGTGGTCAAGCAACTTCCTCTCCCCACAATGGAGGACACCTCTGCTCACAATAGGAGAATGTGTAAGGGGAGACAACTTAATTGGCTGTTAGTCCAATAATGGTCTTACTCATGGCTATGGCTTAAGACCATGAAAGATTGTATGTGATCTGAAGAAGCACTTTAAGAACAAAACAGGCATACTAGCACTAGGAAATGGTATGTTAAAAAAAAAAAGAAAAAAAAACAGCAACTTACCTCCTCCTCTGTTCCCACCATTACTTGCATGCTTGCAGTGAGGGGTTCCTGTTCGTAAAAGAAGGGGTTTTCCATCAGGTTGGTGCGGAACAGTTTGCTCAGGTCGGGCATGGAGCAGGTTCTTAGCAACTGAAACATCAAGATATGTGAAATGAAGTCCGAACTATTTTAGACATCAAACATTTTTTTTTCAGAAAAAGGGCAAAACAATGCACTTAAAAAACAAGCATAAGATTAAACATCTACCAAATTGCTTCTTCTAGTCAACTAGCAACATTTAGTAATAGTATCACTAATGATTAAATATAAAGTAATTATTTGAAAGTATCAACTTTCTGGAGTAAAAGCCACTGGGTTTTGGTATACTGGTTAATGTTGGGTTTGCTGCAGTCCAACCTTTAACAAGCATTTTTATACCACAGTCCATTAGTCTTCACTTTAGGAAAAAAATACACTATATCTGATGTTGGACTGCTCAAACTGATGCTGTGAGAAGATGTAACTCAAAGACTGGGTGCCCATACCTAGATCGATCTAACAGGATCGATCCATCTCAGGGGCGTAACCAGGCATACGCACGGATGCACTGTGCGTACAATTTTTTGAGCCAACCATGATATTATTCTCCATAACTTCAGTGTATTTTTCACGGAATATAATCGTACCTGGGAATTTTTAAAATCTGTGCGTACAATTTTAAATGGTCTGGTTACGCCCCTGCATCTCTGAGAAGTTCCTCGCTAAATTGCTTTCAGCTTAGACGTCTTGCACGCCTACTGAAGCTGTTAAACTATAATTAATTACCCCCTAACAGCTTCAAAGTAGGCATGACAGACATCTAATTTAGCTAGAATCCCCTCGAAGATAGATTGATCCACAGTTAGTACATTAGGTTCTAGGAATGGTCCCAAAGGTTAACCTACCCCAGCTTCAGGTATATCAAAGTGTCCAGTTGCCAGACCAATGATAACACCGGCAGAAGCCATCTTGAAACTGAAATTTCAGAAATGTCCATATTAAAACACAAGTACGTTAAAACTTGAAAATTTCGTTACTTAATCATATCTGATTGGTATTTTATAATGCCTGAACCCAACAGGGTTTTTTTCAAAATTATCAAGAGGTTCATTTAAAATCTCACAAAATTTTCAAAGTGAAAAAAATTGCATTGGCAATGAATCACCTTCCAGCAAAATTCTCAAAACTGACTTAATTTTCAACTGAAGAATTTCTCTGAAAAAGGTTTAAAATATCAGTCTCTCCTTGTGATGCAGTGTTTTCTAAAAACTTTAAGACCAAGAAAATAAAAAAAGAAAAATTTTAGAATATAAATTATTGGTCAAAACAAAAGGAGTCATGTGAGAAGAGTGTATCAATATTATGTAAGCCTTCCAGGGAGCTTGGTTCTTAGAAAATAAGCTCCAGATGTGTCTTCCCTGATTATAAACAGGATGTCTTCACTTTGTACACCACACTTCATCTTTAATAACTACCAAGGGACACTGGTAAGATACAAGAGACATTTGTGCAACCTGATCGGACAGAGCCACTTGGCCTCATTGTGATCAGCCAATCAAAGGCATACGAGTTTAGCTTCACCAAAGAAAAATAGAATTCTCTCTCTCCTTCAAAAAAATTCAAACTGTTTATCAGTCAAGTGTTCAGAAAACCCAACCCTGTCCTAACCTAAGAATTTTTTCCTGATTAATGAAGCAGTTTAAATCAAGTCATCGTGTATTAAGCGAGTTTACCATTATTATATTTATGGTAGTTATCTGTGACTCTGTTTGACATATTTGTAAGTCTTTATGGCTTAGCCAGTTATCATTCTCTCAATTCGTGCACACATAAATATAAATTATTGGCCAAAACAAAGGGATTTATGTGGGATGAGTGTGCCAATCTTATGTAAGCCTTCTAGGAAACTTGGTTCTTAGAAAATGACCTCCACATGCGTCTTCCCTGATTATAGACCAGATGTCACCACTTTGTACGTCACACTGAATTTTTAATAAGTACAAAGTGACACTGGTAAGATACTTAAGAGAGTGCAACCTGATTGGACAGTGCCACACAGCCAATCAGAGGCATACAAGTTAAGCTTCACCAAAGCGAAAGAGAATTCTCTCAAATCTCCAAAAAAAATTCAAACTGTTCAATAGTTACGTGTTCAGAAAAGAAAAATTCAAAAGTGAATTTTGGAAAACTTAGTATTCAAACCCAACCTTGTCCCAACTTAAGGTTTTTTTTTCTTGATTAATGAAGCAGTTTAAGTTGTGTATTGGTCAAGTTCAAAAGTGAATTTTGGAAAACTTAGTATTCAAACCCAACCTTGTCCCAACTTAAGGTTTTTTTTTCTTGATTAATGAAGCAGTTTAAGTTGTGTATTGGTCAAGTTTACCATTATTGTATTTATGGAATTTATCTATGACTCTGTTTGACACATTTGTAGGTCTATATGGCTTAGCTGGTTATCATTCTGTTTAAGTCAATATGTAATTTTAAAGTGGTAGTTTGGGCATAACCTAATCACTGGGCACATGTGGCAGTACTAAGACCAAGAGAGACAACTCTTTTACTGGGCTGTCAGAGCATTGAGGAAATCTACGTCCCTGTCCTAAAAAGGTAGGGGTCGTGCAGCTCGCTCTCAGCCTAGCCCGACTTTTGAACAAGGAATCTTCTTTAATAAATCATTGCCGTTAGTGCCCCTTTTCCCTCCATCTGTGATGAAACTTTAATTATATCTTAAATATGTTGTTGATTTACCATACATGATTATCATGCACACATTTATATTTAGCTGTCAGTATTTTTAATTTGTACTTTGTATATACATCAAAGTATAATTGTCAATAAAATGACAGTTTTCACTTAAAGATGCATACAAAGTCAATTTTCTGTCACAAAAACCAACCAAATGCCAGCATATAGTTTCAAGTAGTATAACTAAGAGAATTACCAAAAGGCATTGATTAATTTTACCCGAAAATGTTTGAACAGATTTTTCTGCTGGCATTCTAAGCTGTATGTCAATGGGGCAGGAAAGTGGGTCACGAAAGTAGGTTAAATTTACAACCAAAAATTTAAAGAAAGGAGCAGTCTAAAGCTCGTTTATGGCTGATCAAGTGCTCTATTCAGTTTATCCCTTGGCATGTCCAATTTACTTGAGTCACATAAGAAACTAGTAGAAGTGGTTTACATGTGTTACTGGGAATCCACACTCCACCGATGCTCGGTTCGTATGTACCTTTAAAACTATATTATTCTGTTGTATTTGAAAAAAAAAACCCCAAAAACTTTGATGGCAAAGTAGCCTCACAGACTCCTCTCAATTCATGCACACATAAATATAATTTATTGGTCAAAACAAAAGGATTTATGTGGGAAGAGTGTATCAATATTATGTAAGCCTTCTAGGAAACTTGGTTCTTAGAAAATAAGCTTCAGATGTGTCTTCCCTGATTAAAGACAGGATGTCTCCACTTTGTACACCACACTTCATCTTTAATAATTACCAAGTGGCACTGTTAAGATACATAAGACATTAGTGCAACCTGATTGGACATTACAACTTGGCCCCATTGTGATCAGCCAATCAGAGGCATATGATTCAGTAAACTAGCCCCAGAGACTCCTTTCAATTCACGCAAACATATATAAATTATTATAGTAGAAAAAGGGATAAGTAAAACGGATAACTAGCAGCAGATGTAAATTTTTGGAATGTTTACATACTTAAGGTATGCCTTCAATATCACACTAACATTGAGTCCAACTTATTCAGATATTAGCCATAAGTGATAAATATACTTACTCTGTATCCTCCTCTTCCTCCTTGTTGTCTAACAACTGTTGTTCATACATCTCTCTCATGGTCGCCTCCTCTTCCTCATCCAGTTCTACCTGGTCAAACAGTTTCTTTTTGCCCTGATCTTTTTCGCCTGATGGTTTTTCTGGGGATGTCTTTTCTGCGGATTTTGGGCGAGGAGACTTTGCTACAACCATAATATAAAAAATTAACATGAATTATTTGAAAAAAATTGAACACTCAGGCTTATGAAGTTTGTCCACTTGTGATTTTATGATTAAAACTAAATTCATTAGATTAAAATTATTAAATAATGAATTGAAATTCTTAAAATTATAATACTGCATTACAGCTCAATTACATGTTGCCTTAAACCTCAACTGCAATAGATTTTAAGGAACTTTTAAGCTTTTAAACTTTTAAGGAAAAATGCAAGAATTAGACTTACAATAACCTAATACAGACCAAAGAATTAGAGATCAATATGAGAAGTGCACAGATTTCAATTAGCTAATTACATGCTGCAAACAAAAAAAATGCAAGCCAAATATAAAAATCAATAAATTAAAATAATACATAAAAATAAAAAAGGTATGCTGCTAAGCCAAATAATCTCCAACCTTTCGGCTCAGCACTCTTAGGACGCGATCTAGTCCTTTCCTTTCTAGATTTCTTGTCGGGGGCACTTCCTGGACGTGGTGATGACTTTCCTGACTTCGAGGACTTTTTAGAGGTGGATTTCCTTACCTCGTCATCACCCTCCACAGTTAGTTTACCTAAGACACAGTGCCAAACAAAGTTCAGCTCACGCCAATCACTATAGACTAAGGGGCCATTCTGACTGAGAAGAGCCGAGTGCTAGTAAGGCCGCAACCTAAATATGGCGGACCTACATGAAAAGAGGACTGCTTAATCCTGTAATGGTCTCTCCACCTCCCCAAATGTCGTCCCTGCAGTGACACAGTGATTAAATCTCAGCTTAATTCAACTGGTCAACGGACAATGCATGGGGAGGCATGTGAGAGGCAGAGAGACCATTACAGGATTAAGCGGTCTTCCTTTCATGTAGGTCCGCCATATTTAGGTCTGCTCTTCTCATTCTGAATATGGCAAAAACTATGTGGCAAAAACTTTCAAACAACCATAGTGAAGCCAGGTAAGTAAAATTATGTAAATATCTTTAGTTACTGGTCATTGTTTCTGAATCAGGATTCTACCCCAATCAGAACGATGAAGTGTCAACCCAGTCTTTCTTAAATCTACTGTACACATCCTATTTCTATTGTATCCATGATTACTGTTTACTGTGCAATTTAGTCTGCACCCATTCCTTGTTTTAAGATGGTTACATTTTGTTGTAAAATTCAGTGTACAACTTCTGATCACATCAACCTCTACCACAGCAGATGACAACAGTCATTTGGTACAAAACTTATACCCCCCCCGAAAAAAAAAAAAATCCATGCATATATGGTATACACCCTCAAAATAATCTAAAACAAGGAATGCACTGCAGTTGAATTGATTTCAAATTGAGCTTGTTAATAAATTATGCACACTTATTAGGCTTCATATACAGCATCTCCACACTTTCTATCACAAGGTGGCTCTAGCTTATCTGACTATTCTTAGCACATACACATATATGTTTTAACCAGCTGGTTCAGATAAACAAGTTCCCTTTCACATTGAATAGTATACTCTAGCTGAACAGCTACACTGGTGACAAAACTTACCACTTGATGTGGAAAGGGCCGCAGACATAAACCTTACCTGGTGAAGTTTTCTGCTTATCAGGAGACTTGAGTTTCACAGGGGACACTTTCTCTAAAGTCAACTCAATCTCTACATCTCCTGCAACTGGTTCTGAGGGTGTCACTTCTGGTTGCCGTGGTGACTTGGGCTCCTGTTGCCGTGGTGATTTGGGCTCTGTTTTCCTTGGTGATTTCTGCTCCTCTTCTATTGGAGTTTCCTTCTTTGGTGTGAGAGGCTTATTTTCTGGTAAAAAAAAATTCAAATTTCAATTCCTTGTTAAACTGACCACTTTTCTACTTGAAAATATGTACAGCCATCTTTCACATGCACGCACTCAAATTAAAAAAACCCTGTTAACTAAATATTATATTATTTTTCCACCTATTGCCATTAACTTTAGTAGCTACAATAATTCTTGAATTTTCTTATTTTCAGATCTTAAAGTTTTGTATACAATAACCTTTTAATGGGAATTATCTCAATCCTGAAAAGGAATATACATATTAATTTCCAGTAAAAAACACAAACCTCCTTGCTCTCCTACTACTTGCGGTGGCTGTTTGGGTATAACAATTGTCTCTCCTATGGCCCCCTTAGGTATACTGGCTTTCGGACTTTTCATTGGACTCCTCCCTGCCCTTGCATCATCTAGAAGGTAAAATGACAAACAAGACTTGCCATTAAATCTACAGACAAGACCGAAAATGTCTTGTCTTATACTAGAATTTATAACCTTTGACACTTTTTAATATCACTTATTTTCCAAAACATTTATGTGGATCACAGATAGAGGGTTGTTGGAAGGAGTATTACAAAACCTTTTTAAGACATATTCTAAGGTCGAAGAAAAATAACTCCTGGAAATTTCAGAAATTATCACCAAGGCTTACCCGATTTTCAAACTCATGACAAGAGAGTCTCAACATTATGAAAACTTCCTACAACTCAAAAAAAGGTTTAAAGATGTGTCTGGATATGGATTACCGTCAAGTTGTAGATTAAGGTGGAATTCTTTAAACTTGCAGAAAAATTCAATTTTTGCCATACATAATTCAACAAAGGCCCCACTCAGAATAGGGGACTAACTACTCCCAGGGTCAAATATGGCAACCCACTACAAAGCTTGCTGTCTAATCGCTAATAGACACTGAATCGATACCCTTTGGGAAGTACTCAAGTGGGTCTGCCATATTTGACCCTCGGACAAGTAAGTCCCCTATTCTGAATGGGGCCTGAGATGGACCTTATTTCTGGTATTTACCTGGATAATCGGAACCCTGTATTGTCATGGTCTGGGAGACAATGGCGGCCTTGTTCAGCACATTAATGGCGGTACCCGCGGGGCCTCCCCACTGCTTTCTCCCAGCATCGGCTGCCTTGAACACCAGATCCTGAGCACTGGTAGCTGGAAGAATTCATTTAGACATAATCAATTGAAGATGAAAAAAACATTTCTCGCAACGTGCCCCCATACAATGACCTGTAACCATATGTACCAGGTATTTACAAAACACTACATGCACTTTGGCCTCAGAACAACGGATGAAAAGTTTACCATCATTATGAAAGCCCAAGATGAAGAAACCCTCATTGTATTAGCTGTTTCTCTCCTCTGCTTTTGTTAGGAGGGATCTAGAAGACAGTGCTGCACTCATCAGCAATTGAGTAGTAGTAACTTGAGTTAAACAAGTAACTTTAGTAAGTAAGTAGTCTTACATGTTGTAATTGGTTAATAGCATGCTCATTTAAAATTATATTTATATAGTAAGTTTCATCCACCAAGGTGGATGCATATGTTACAATGAATAAACTATGAAACTATTTAGACACTGATGAGGGAGAGCTGATAATTGATAAGGTTGGGCCACCTTCATCGAAATATCACATAAAAAATACTTGAATGCGTTTTTCTGAAAAATGTGCTGTTGAAGCAATATAAGATGGTGCCAAAATGTAGAATATAACGATCCAAATCGTCCTTTTTGTACAGATAATGATAGTGAAATTGGAATGATGGCATGGTCACATAAATATACACAGATTTTTTTTCTTTTCTCTGAGAGAGAGAGAGAGAGAGAGAGAGAGAGAGGAGAGGGGTGTGAGTAACAAACATCATCACTCACCATCCATATTAGAGGCTGTCTCCTGCAGAGCCATGTCTCGTAACTTGGCTGCATCACCCTGTCCCCATTGTGGCCTCTCTTTCTGCTCAGCAAACATTGGCTGATCTGTTGCAGGTGCCCCCCATTTGGGCCTATCTTTCTCTTTTTCATCTGGAGGCTAGAAACATAGTAACATAGGAAATATAATGGTGTGGACTGAAACTACATGCTGAAACTGTATGACAAAAAGGATTGGAATTGGCCATAAAAATATACAAAATACACAACACCCAATGTCATACTATAACGAGGCAAGTTTCTGGTCAGTGTTGTTTTTGTTACTGTCTACATTGTATTGAAAAAATTAGTTACAGTTACTTACGTTTTGGTTCAGTTTCCTCAGTATTTCTTTCTTCTGTTCCTGTTGACTACTATAATAACACAAAATAAAACACATTTAGTATGACATATCAAGATTTCCTAATGGTTAAACAACATATAAAAGATAAGAAATAATCCATAATAATCAAAACAGAATACCTTATCAATGTCTTCATATTTGGATGAGAGAGAGAGAGAGAGAGAAAGAGAGAGAATAAAAAACAAAACAAATAAAAAAAAAAGACAGTAACCACTCACCCCCTAACATCATCATCAACAGGCACTGACTCCTCAGCAGGAGCATCTTCAACATTCGCCCCGATGGCCCTCAAAACATTGGTCATACCAATAGGTGTCGCCTGTGGCCGCGAGGGTTCCCTGTGTGGCACGGCTGCACCTATCGCCTTCATGACATTAGTCATTCCTATAGGTGGAGCCTGTGGTTGAGAGGGTTCTACTTTCGGAGCCTCGGCACCTATGGCCTTCATAACCCCAGTCAGCCCAATGGGTTGTGCAGGTTTTATTTGGGACGGATCGTAAGCTGGTTTGGGTAGGGGACGGGATGGTTTGATAGGCCTGGAATGGAACAATATGTACAAATTTGTTATCAAATTAACAATATTGTGACTTTGAGACAAGTATTTGCTATAAAAGAGATTTAAATTTGTTAATGTCTTACGTATAATATACTAACAGAAGACAAATGTAAACCTTCCTTTTTTCACAAGTAAAGAGCCACATATAAGTTTTACTTGCTTAACATGAAGGTTAGCTGCTTTTTGAGTTTACATTGCGGAAAACAAAGCAACTGAAAATAAATTGTTCAATACTGCTAATTTAAGTAAATTCAATTACAACTTATACAATTAGCATTATTGAACTTCATTTTTTTTTAAATAAAAAGTCCAAAAAAAAAAAAAAAAAATTTAAGTTGGGCAGTGAAAAAAAAAAAAAAAAACTGCTCCAGGACATGCAGAGTGGTCACCCACCTATCGTCTGCTTCTTGTCTTGCATTTGGCGCTCCAATGCCTTTTGCTGCCAACTAAAATTACAGAAATGACTGCAGTTAGCTACATGAGGTAAATGACAAAGTTGTCGATCAGAATTTCCTTCGTATCCTTTAATTACAGCAACAAATATAATAAATTAAATAATAATTTATTTAAAGTCTCACATGCACCGTAGATGTTCATTCAGCTATTTGCACTTAATTCTTTTGCATTTGCTTTCATAATTAGCCATTTTCATTTTGTCTACCATCCAAATATCCAACTTTAAGTTTCAAGATAAAAATATTATTCTTTTTATTTAGGAAAGGCCAAGATTTTTCAATGAATCATATCTTACATGATTGTCCCACTGTTTCTTCTCCCTCTCAAATGCTGCCCTTCTTTTCATCTCCAATTCTTCCTTCAGTTTCTTGGCTCTTGCATCAGCTTGAGCCTGGGGTGTAGAAATTTATGATGCTAATAATTGTTAATTTGACATGAAAGTGCCCAGACCATGCTGTTAATGATACTGTCTATAATTACTGGAAGGATCGCCTTGTACATGAACTGTGATACAGATTAACCCATGGAAGAAACGGGATTTACATTTCAATGATTTTAATTTAAACAATCCACATACACGGGTGAAAGTTGTAAAAACTGAAAATCCTGAAAACACAGCTCCTGATTTCTCATCCCATTTATCCCACGTGGAAAAAATGATCAAAATAAAGACTGAAAATCCTGAAATCAGGTATTTTCCTGAAACTTTTGTCCATGCACAGAGATTCATCAATAATAATAATAATAATAAAGAGAGGAGTTGCAGCAGAAAGCTTACCAAACTTAAATTACAAATTCTTTAAAAGTTTTCATTCATTTTCAATCATAAGACTTGGGATGTTTACCTTTAATGCTTCAATTTTCTGTTTCCTGGCTTCTGGGTCATATCTAGGATCTCCTGGAATTCTTGGCTGGAAAATGGCAAAAACAAAACAATCAAGATGTCATCTGTGGCAACTATTTAAACCCTTTTACACTGGACAGCGTCTTTTCTGCGTCCTGCAGTAGACTCCATTTGAGAGTAAAAAAAAAAATTTGTACCGACAACTGGCTGGTCTATGAGCATCCATTCTGCAACCAAAGTAATGCTTGTGCCCACTTTCTACCACCACAGCGCAAATGCCATTTCCATGATTGCACAAAGGACGCAGAAAGGATGCCATCCAGTGTAAAGGGGGTTTTACTTACTTCTAATGAAATGAATAAATGATATTCTCCCAAACAAAGTTTTGTTAGTTATATATTAAGATGCTAGTTCAATACCTTTTGCCCTTCTTGAATCTTCTGCTTGATCATTTTTCTCTCATTGAAATTCTGCAGACGAATCTGTCTCAGTCTGGCCAAATATTCCTGCAGTCAAATTTTATATAAATTAGTTGGATAGATGTCTTAAATATGGCTTTTATAAGTCACACTTTTAACCAAGTAGAGTTTTTATAGTCACACTTTAAACCAAGTGGATAGTTTTTTTATAGTTTATAAGATTATAAAGGGCTTTCACTGTAATTAATTACAAAGAGACACATTCATCAAATACATTTTAACCAAGTTGAAAATATCATATAGGGTAATTGATTTAAAAGAGACATACATCAAATTATATTTTATCAATCATTTCATTTTCACACTTAAGTTATCAAAGGGAAAAGTACCCTACAAATTTCAAGAATTTGCTGCAAATTTTGCAAAAAATATCAATTTAAAAACAATACATGTTCTACATCCATTTATTCCAAATTAAATTCTAACTTACAGATTCATCTTGGTTTCTGGCTCCCTCTACAGCAGAAATTGGTCTCTTTTCACCGTGAGGAGCAGGAGCAGGGACATCTGGCTCCCGCTGAATTAAAAAAGATAATATATTATAATTAAAAGATGCAACTTAAAGTGAGCTTTATACTGCTGCTGCTACTACTACTACTATTACTACAGTACTACTTCTAATGATAATAATAAGTGACATGCAGAGTTTTTAAATCTCAATTGTGTACAAATGTACTCAGAGCATATTTTTAAAAAGCTAAAAAGAGACTCATTTTTATATTACAATATGCGATATCTTATCAAATGAATAGACAATTTGCCTTAATTCAACACAGTTATTGCACATTTTGTTTCAATCTGAATGTAGAAAAAAAGTTCTTGAAAACATTTTCAAATTATAAATCATAATTACAGAACAGCTGACTTGCATTTTTTTTTTTATTAAAATACAACTAAAATGTTAACTGTACAAATAGAAAGTGAGATATACCCCAAACAACATTGCTTGCCCTCTGTTTTTGTAGTATGCAGCTTCTTTTTTCCTCTGTAGAAACTCGGAGACCTGCTTTGCTTTCTCTGCTGCTTCTGCTCCCAGAGCCCTGAAACATAAAAATCCCAAGGTGAGAAAAATATTTAAAATTATTTTTTAGGTTTTTGAATTAATGTGAGTTCAAAAGTGCCTTATAAAAAAAACTCGATTCATTGTCTAAATACCGTTTTGAGTTTCAATAAAAACACTCAGTTAACTGGGGTTTAAGCATGTATGTGTGTGCATGTCCGTGAAAACCTGACCACGAGTGAACAAGTTTGCATGCATGTAATAAGTCACGATTTACCCCTGGTGGACTTACTGAATACCTTACCTATCTGCTTCCCCTCTCTGTGCCGCCCCAGCTGCTTTGTTGAACTCTCTCTTGACAGCATCTCTGTCAGGCCATCCCTCCATGGGTCTGCCGGGGACAGCACCTTGATCTGAAGTAAGTACATCTATTTGGAAAACTCATCCACCCAGCAAGTGATAACGATTAACATCTACTCACTTTGGTATGGTTTTGATGGGCTAAGTTTTACACTCTGGATTAAAAATATAGTGAACACCCATACTGCTGCAGAAGTAGCAAACTAAGTTTTACACTCTGGATAAAAAAATCTACTGAACACACAAACTGTTTCAAAGTCACAAACCTGGCTTCATTTGCCCTTTCGCTCTCTCTTCTCGGTCCTTTTTCAGTTTCTCCAAGTACGCATTATAACCCTCATAGTTTCCCCGGTCCACTGCAGCCTTGGGGCCAACTGCAGGACCCCAGGCTTGTGCAGGGGCCACAGCAGGGGCGGGAGCGGGGGCAGGGGCAGGGGCCTCTGAGGGTGCATCATCCCCTTTCTTCTTATCCTAAAATAGCGAGTTTGAACTGGCATCATACCTTTAATGCTCATACCAACACCTGCATGGTTCCATTTTATTTTGGTCAAAAATTTGAGGATAAACCAACAAAGGCGAATTCTGTGCTAAAAAGACTAGCAATGAAATGTGGAACACCTCATAACTTGAAATCAACACAATTCAGACTGGTTAATCAGTGAGATGAAAGAGCATTGTAATAAAATGTCTAACAGTTCCAGTCTTACAGACATTAGCCACTACAATAAATGAAAGTAATTAAAAAGTTAATGGAATAAGAAAAAACAAAACTTTATATAAGATAAACAATGAAGGTATGAAATCTAAGGAACAATATAAACACTTAAATCAAAAATGAGGAAGAAAGAATCCAATGGATGGTTTACCAGTCTGCCAAACATTGTCCGTTCCAAGTAGAAAAGAGGAATATATACAGACAACTAAAAGATTGAAAATGACAATCTGAAATAGAGGAAAAAAACACACCTCTGCATTCTCAGAACCTAAAGAATTCACCATGTTTTTCCAGCCAGCCTCTCGAGCCTTTTTGATACGGTCCATCTGGAAAGGTCAATAACACCACAGTCAGTACCATTTATCTGTTTAAAATACTTAATACATCCTTAGTATGTGTTACCAACAAAATCTTTTAAGTTTTCCAAAGGATTTCACAAAATGAAATAAATACTACTTTAAAATTTCTTCTAATGAGACATCATGGATTAAATATAAATAATTTTATTTTAAAAATTCTGCACTTGTCATACTCTTTGCTTTTCAATAAGTTCCCTGTGCTGCCTTGCATACATTTGCTCCTGCAAAAGAATTAAATGCTTTGTCAACATTTGTGTTAAAAAACAGGACTCATAACAACTTGAAACAGTTCATCTTCCAACAATATTCATAAACTGACAGATACAGTAAAATTTCAGTTGCAAATAAGACATCAAAATAAATAAATAAATAAATAAATAAATAAATAAATAAATAAATAAATATAAATACCTGCTTTTTAGCTGCTTCTCTTCTTTTTTGCTCTTTTTCCATTAGTTCCTTTCTCTTCTGTGCAAGTACATTCTGAAGGTTAAAAGAAGGAAACATGCATGCTGAATCATATTACTTCAAATTATGAAGATCTATATAACGTAAATTTAAACTTTTGTACTTTTCAGACATGAGCGTAGGTTTAAAAAAAGATGAATTCGTAATTCCGCGAAAAAAGCTCATGTCTGACTTTTGCTCTATGATTGTCTCTATGGCATTGACTGAAGTGTAACAAATACTCCTAGTCCATAACTTTTACGTTTCATCAAAAGTTTAGTTCTTCAATAACTTTTTTATTCAATAATAGTTAGAACACCTAACGTTTTCATTTTCATAGATTTACAGCATCAATAAAATATTGATATATGATAAAAAATACCATGGCATTTATATCGCTATAGCAAAAATATCAAATTTTCAAAAAAAAAATTCTTACATCTTTCATATCGCTGTCTCTCAGCTGTGTGTTTGTGTGTATTTCACATTAAGTTATATTAAAATATATATAAGTGTGTGTGTGTGTGTGTGTGTGTGTGTGTGTGTGTGTGTGTGTGTGTGTGTGTGTGTGTGTGTGTGTGTGTGTGTGTGTGTGTGTGTGTATTTCACATTAAGTTATATTAAAATATAAGAAGAGAAGAGTCTAACTCACAGCATTATTAGCAGCTGCAGCAGGTACCATCCCCACTGGGTTAGGTTTCTTCTTCTCCTCTGCAGACCTTCTGAAATTTTTCATCAAAAAAACACACCAAATGACTTTTGTATCACTGAACAGTTATAAAACAAATATAATCAATTAAATAAAAAAATTATAATAATATTATAATAAAAGTGAAAAAAATTGAAACCCAGGTAATTTATATTCAAGATGTCCAATATCTCCCTCCCTCTCTCTTCCTCTCAAACACGAAGGCACACACACACACACACAGCCTTGGGCAAACATTTATAAGTATTTCCAGATCCAATGAACAAATCGCCAACCTATTTCACACTTCATATAACAAGTAAAACCCATGCAATAATGTGCTTCATGAACTACATTTGTCTACTTTTCTACATCTCATTTATTTCTTCAGTTTATGAGACCCTTATGGTAAAAACCTGAAAATTTCATCACTTAAAAATTAATTAATATTTTAAAAAGCATGAATCCAATATGACAATATAAGGTGACAAACTTTTCAAAATTACAGAGGCCAATTTTCAAGTTTGACAAAATTTTCAAAGTGAAAAAAAAAAAAAAATGTCAAGCAGAGAATCATCTTCCAGTAAAATTTTCAAGACCGTTCAAGTTTTTACCATACCTGTTTTCCTTGGACCTCCTGGCAGCAGGGGCATAGGCAGCAGCAGGGTCATATCTAGCAGGTGCTCCCCCAGCAACTGGGGGCTTTCGGGCAACTGAAGTAAGACAAAGATGATTTATAACAAACTAGAAAGCACTCTTGTAAAGGGATAGGGATATGACTGAAATAGATATCACAAATGAAAATTTATTAAATGCATCGGCTAACTGTCCAACCTAAAAATGTCATCGAAATTTGTGAATAATAAACAAATAAACAGATACAGCAATGCAAAGATTGAAAATGTGACCTTTGTAGGTGTAGATTATAAAGCAGAACAGGCATAAAAGGTTGTTTGCTGACATTTTAGTTGTCAACATAAACAATCATAAATATGTTGTTGGGAGGATTTCAAAATATGTGAATCTCAGTCAAGTTGCAAGAAAATTTATATTAATACTGGTATACAGATATTTGTGGATTCATAATTAACAAACAACAAATTGTATATGAAAAATAAATAAAAAAAAAGTCTTAAAACCAACCACTTGAAAGTTAAAATATATCTTTTGGGCCAATGAAAAGCAAATTACATAAATTTCACTGTCTTTTCAAAAATTTTAAACACAAAAAGATTTGTAAAAAAAGGAAGGTCAAATTTTTTGTTTATCAATGGTTTTGACTGTTAAAACATGAAGTTTCCAGAGGTAGTGTGTGACAATGCCTGTATCAATAGTTCCCCACCCCTCACTTACCCGGAGCTGAGACTGCCCTCTTGGCTTGACCTGGGGGTGGCAACTGTTTTAACATTCTCTGTCCATGCATCACCGTGTGACTGAACTCCTCCTGTAACATCTGAAACAAAGGTTTCAATGGTTTTCATTTGATTCAGTTTGGCTTTCACATTGAGTTTTTTGCTGGATAAGAATTCTGAATATTTTATCCTCCAATGCAATCAAACATTTTGTATGAAGTTTTTTTGCTGACTTTTTTTGCATAATGCACAAAAGATTAAAAATTCCTCTGCTTGATAGCTTAGCTTTGCCAGCCTAGTTTTATTAATATTTATTTCTTTGTTCTTATTCATAATTTTTCTACTGATTTCTTATCACAGAAAATGTTAAACAAATACGATATATTTAGCTTTAATTGTGTTTCAGTTGGATCTTTGCTGACTTCTAAATACTCTCTCTATAAGGATTATTTTAACTTTCTCGGTCATTTTCAATTGATTCAAAACTGTATACAAACAGTTTCTACATGTCTGATTCTTTAATTTTAGCAACCAGAAGTTTTTTCTTCCATCTCTTGTCATGAAATATTGTTTTATGACTATTTAAGCCATAACATTTTTACAAATAATAAAACTTGATTCAGAGTCACAAAATCTGTCTACCAGAGTTGAAAGAAAATAAAAACCTACTGTTTCAGAAAGAAACTTCTGTATCCTTTTCTGTATGAATGGTTTCTTTAAGATTGTGGTCACAGATGGACGGTCTCTGAAAAAGGAAATAGCAAATCATATAAATAATTATAGTTATACAGCAAAATAGGCCTGGAACATGATTTTTTTGAGAAAATGTTATCAAATACTGGCTTCATGAATATTTCCTTTATTTGAATAATAAAGGGAAAAGATCTCTAGGATTGCTATTTACAGTAACAGTACCATGGGTTAAATCATCTCAATTATAAAAAAAAGATTAATTTGAGCACTACATGAAATGGCAATTTGCTGACATCACAGGTGAATAATTTACAGAATAACACCATATGGCAATGTATATATGGGTAAAACACAAAATTGAAAATAATGAATATTTGACTAAATATTTGTCAATACTTTGTATGAATATTAGAGAATAACATGCACACGTACCTTGGATTTCTCTTAAATAATTGAGCAAGTAGGTTTCTCAGTTCATAACTGTACCTTGGGGGTACCGGTGGATAGGAACCCCTGGGGAAATACACATTAAACCCATGAATTAGAATACAAAGTCTGATTTCATTAGCACTGTCGTCTCCAGAAGACAATTTATCCTTGCTTTTAACTATAAGGTAGCCAAGGTGTTCTGTGAGTCTGTCTGTCTATCCAGACTGAATGACAGTGCTTAAAAAAATAACGAAATTAAAATCTGATACTGATTTTCTGTAATTACCTGACTGTGATTAGTTGAAACCAAGGAAACTGTAGGGTTTTTTTCACATTCATTGTCAATTTTTACTCTATAATTATCTTTTGTCTAACCGACTTCATATAATGCAGTGAAAATAAGACCATACTTTTCTATTTTTACCTGATTATTTTCAATACTAAGTTTTTCATATTGCCTGCCTCAAACTGAAAAAGACATATATTTATATATTCATATTCGTTTTTTGTTTCAGTTTATTCAAGATATTAAGATAAAGCCCTTACACATATTCTACAAAAAAAAAAAAAAAAAAAAAAAAAAATTGTGTTTTAGTAAGCAAGTAAGTGTAGCATATTACAACTGTTTAAGTAACAGTATCTGAAAACAGTAATGTGTTAACATAGAATTTAAAACCTTCCTAAATACTGAAAACAAAGAATGACCTGTACAAAAATACTAGTTACTCAACAAAGGACAACTCATAACATCTAAATTTCGATGTAGCACAAGGGGTGGGTGCATTTCTTTAATTTTCCTCAGAATTTAGGTACCAGTTTACAAAAAATAGCAATTATACTTACAGCATGTTTGAGGGTAGTCAGTTCATACAAGACACAGCCTAGTGACCAGATATCACTAATAAATAAATAAATTAATAAATAAATTAATTAAATAAATAAATAAAAACAAGAAAACATGTTGCACACAATTCTTAAAAACGATTACAAAGTAACAAATTTAATAAAATCTCACATACAAAATTGCTAAAATTACACATTAAGGCCATGTGGCACCATATTGCTTAAGTCACACTGGCAGATTTGTTTTTTAATAAAATCTCACATACAAAATTGCTAAAATTACACATTAAGGCCATGTGGCACCATATTGCTTAAGTCACACTGGCAGATTTGTTTTTTAATAAAATCTCACATACAAAATTACTAAAATTACACATTAAGGCCATGTGGCACCATATTGCTTAAGTCACACTGGCAGATTTTTTTCCTAAGACAATATTAATGACTCACTTATCATGGAAATGGATAATATACTGACCAAAAATTTTAGTCCAATATTTTTCATTTTCTCGGGCCAAAATTAAAATCATGCCAGACAGGCACTGGGCACCTGTCATTCACTTACCTTATATACTTTTTTGTGTTTACTCTTTTACATAGTTTATAATTTTTATTCATAATACATCCATACAGGCATGTAGACATACCTCTTATTGTTATATGGTTTGTTTTCACAGATCTCTGGTGACAAGTAGTAAGGTGTTCCTATACATGTTCTAGCTAGCTCCACAGTGCTGTAATAAAGATATTGACAATAAGAAAAGCATTCCACGTAAAAGATTGTGATCTCTTTACATTTTCCTTATAGAACAGTGAGACCTTGTAATCATTGCTAGTATAAGATGCACATGTGCCATTAACAGGGATGAGACTTTTTGACTCCCAAGTAGTCATAATCCGCTTATAGTAGGAATCCAAAATATTTCATTCTGTTGTCAGCACCAACACAACCCAGAGAGTTGGAAATACCCGATAGTTGGAAAAAATTTCATCCCTGTATATAAGCAAATGCATCATTTCATATTTTTAAAATTTACAAGTAAAATGTAAATAACTTGTCCACTTATTCCCTACCTGTTGAGAACTTTCGCTATGCCAAAATCCCCCAACTTCACAATACCGGCCTTGGTGAGAAAGATGTTCTGAAAATTGGGGAATTCAACAAATAGGAGACAGGCCACATGAATCATTAAGACTCACAAATTGGGCAGTAGATAAACTGAATACTAGTACCTGCTAAACTGTTTTCGGTTACAGCAGAAACATGTCTTTTTAAATGCTTTTATTCACAATGAAAGTAAGAGTGAGACCTAACATATTCACTGGTGAATAAATAATTACTGCTCATTAACTTAAGAAAGTTTTGAATGTTTATACATAAGTATTTTCATAAATATTATCAATATAGTTTTTTTGCAAGATAATAGTAGTTCTCTCTGCAGAAGGGAAAAAACATGCTTCATAATATAATAAATTTTGCCTTTGTTTCTAAGTAGAAACAGACAACTTACCTGTGTTTTTATGTCCCTGTGTAATATCTTCCTGTCATGTATGTGTTTTATTGATAAACAAATCTGGACAAACCAATCCAAAACCTGCAACATACAAAAAGACTGCAACTGACCACTCAGTATAATTCAGCACAAAAAAAAAAAAAAGCAAGTTTAAAATATCAATATCAAAACCTCAACATTATCTTTGAATGTTTTCATTTAATTCTGGAATAAGACAGATTTATCTAATTTTTTTTTGCCTTTCCTTTTAAATAATTCTTGACACAAATTGTTTTTGCGATAAACAGTGATAATCATTTATCACAAACCTGCTCTTCTGGGAGTAAAGCCCCTCTCTGTGCACTGATTCTTCCATACAGGTCACCTGAATGGAAAAATTAACATGTTCTTTACTTTTTCCCAACGTTCAAATAAAGCACCTGTCTTGGCCAGGGCAATTTGCTCGGGTAAGTATTCCAACAAACCCATCTCCAAAGTATAGTAGCCGACTATTTCCATCATATAACTGTAGGTCTCCAGCAACAGACGAAAAAAAAATCTGCCCATTGCATGCATTTAAGCATTTTACCAGGTTAAAAACTGTCAACCAATTTTCTCGATATCAAACTCTAGCTATATCTTCTATTGTGAGTTAAGAGATGAAAAAATAAACTAATTAATTAATACTGGTAGATGAAATACTCACCCCCGTCACAGTAATCCATCACTATATACAAACTTCCCGTTTCTGAAAGAAACAATGTAAGTGTGAATATTGCTAAGAGCAACAACAGTGAGTCAAATCTAGAAACTTTCAAAAACTGGTATTAAAGATGGTGATTTAGTTAACTGATTTGGATTTGGTGTATATGCATATAATAAGGAAAAGTTTGACATTTCTGGGAAAACCATTCTTTATTATTATTATTTGCGAAGTAAAGATCTAACGCTCAGACACCACCATTAACATGATGGTGCTATTACCCTCAAAGGATTCTTTATATGTCACAATGTTGGGATGCTGCATCTGAGCTAAAAGAGCCGTTTCTTTCTTTGCTTCATCACGCTCTTTCCTTGACATCTGAAAACAAAAACAAAATCTTGTCATAACAGCATAAAAATACAAAACAGAATGAAAACCCTTAAGATCATTACAAAGACCAAGGTAACTAAACCAGCTTACACTGAAATACTTATAAAATTGACAAACTAAACATTTTTTCATTTATGAATAAATGAATATGTAATCATCTTCTGTCACTGAAATGCCCACAAGACCTCCTAAACACTAAAACATTAATTGAATGGGAACTATAATCAAAATGACTAAAGAAAAAATTGAAATAGTACGTGTATTAATTCATTTCATGTCTTAATAGTTACCTTTTTATGTTGCTTAAATGGTGATGCTTTATGCAAATGCTTCTTTTTTTGTAAATCATTTTCAATTGGAAAATAAATAAATTTTGCAGTATTCTTACCTTGGCCATGTTTATTTCTTTGATCACATATTGTTTGCCATTCGCTTTGGCTTTGACTAGGTAGGCTTTCCCAAAGGAACCCTCCCCAATCTTCTTCAGCTTAACATATTTCTCCATTATGAACTCTTGGAAAAACTTACAGCTGTAAGTAAATATGATTAAAAATAAATTAGTTCCATATGGCACATGTTGCATATAAAATTTAAAAACTTTTTTAAAATTACTCTTTAATTTACACCCAGTGCTAAACTAAAATAAAAAGTAACACAAAAGAAGGAAGTGCTAAGTGATATTTGTTAACATCAATTTCTGTTCAAACATATCACCAACATTCCACAACTTGATGCTTCTTGTGCAGTACACATATTGGAAACCCCTACAATTTTGCTATTCAATAAAATGAATGATGCTATAATGTAGAAAATCACTAGATAAATTAATTAATGGTTTTAAAGTTCATCTTTACCATTAAGTTAATATATTATCTTGTCTAAAGCTGCTAAGTTTGCCAAGTACTTTTCATTCACAAGCGAACCCATGCTTAATAGTTTAAAATTTCAAAATTTTAAAGAAAACCCCACGCTTTCAGACCAGTCTTATATTTGAGCGGCATTTTCATGGGGTTCTTGGTACAGGGGTAATATTTAAATTTAAGAGCAGACCGCTGCAGCCTGCTCAAAATCCAGGTTTACCCGATACCGTTTCTTATATTTTCGAAAACACATACTGCATGGCGTTTTTTTACTCCAAAAAGGTGGACTAGTGTAGTGCAAAGAGAGTCGATTTATGTAGTTCAATATCTATAGATTCATCGACCGATCAGCTTTGAACTTGAAGAGAAAACTCGAAATAACAGTGCAGCTTAAGTCAATGTAAATTAAATTGATCATCTATGTCATATGTAATTCATCAGATATATAAAGCATTTACTTGGAAACAAAACAACAGCAAGCATACTCTCAGAATTTGACCTTACCTACTGGACGGACTATAAATGTTGAACACAATTGAATTGTTTTCAGTTTCCTGTCACCGCCATACTTTGAATTATTTCATTGTTTACTGCTAGATGGCGCCACATAATGCTAACTGAAGCTTGGGCGCGTATTATGTCAGGCCAAAAGATGGCGGAATACGTCATATAAGGCTTACAGCAAAATGTCATAGAAGGCCACGGAGTATACTATTGTCTTTTGTTTAATATTCCTACCAGTGCAGATCTGCACACAAATCACTGAAACCAGTAGCTTTTATATTATATTATTTAAATGTGTGATAAAATTTGACAGTGTAGGGAAAACTATAGTGAAGGTTTAAAATAACACTAATACCTATCTGCAACAACCTGTATGTGGCATCAAATGAAGTCAATTTTCTTCATTTTTAGTTTATAGAAGAATGTGTTATGGAATCAAATCAGGAACGGATCCAAGAATACTTGAAGGGGGGGGGGCAAGTTTTTTTTTAAAGAATGACAGGTCTCGGATGCGAAGCCGACACTTGCCCCCTTGGTGTGGGTTTCGGTGTTTTGGAAGGCAAACGTGCCATTTAGTGCAGTTTAGAACTATGATTCAGGTCTTCAAAATTCTAATATCAAGAAGGGGATATTGATGTGATTTTTTCCAGAAACCCTGACACCCCCCCCCANGTCTCGGATGCGAAGCCGACACTTGCCCCCTTGGTGTGGGTTTCGGTGTTTTGGAAGGCAAACGTGCCATTTAGTGCAGTTTAGAACTATGATTCAGGTCTTCAAAATTCTAATATCAAGAAGGGGATATTGATGTGATTTTTCCAGAAACCCTGACACCCCCCCCCACCCCACCCCTCTAAATCCGCCACTGATTTTGTTGGACTGTCAAGGTTTGTAAAGCCCAGAACTATACCTGTAATCCAACTTCTGACAGAAATAAGTAAATTCAACATGTTTTCTATATTTTCGTGATCCCCTAATATTTACACAGCATACATTCAACGATACGTTGTATTTCGGGTTTTGGACTAGCTCCTATTTACCAGTTAACACTGGGGGCTTTTCTCTTTGTCAAACGTATCTTTTTGGTCGTCAACCGCAAGTACATCATACCTGAAGTAAGGCTTCTTTCAATTTTCTAAACAATCATTGGAGAACGAGTACAAATTAATTCGTGCTCTTGAAACCCTTTCGGGTAGATCTTGGCTGATCATACGAAAAGAAAAATTTTGATAATTCTTCCGTTTCGATCGGAAAGGCGAAAGAATGTGATCTTTAATTTTAAAGCTACAGCTGTATGTTAATTGATCCCGGCTTTGTTTTTATTTAAGAGCCTGTATGAACATTCAAACGATAAGTCGGCGTCGTTTAGCTCATTAAAGTTGTTAATAACTTCGATATCCGTTGTAGTTGGTCTTAAATTTTCATTCTCGGCGATGTTAAACACCTTAAGATATCGCGATTTACTTTGCCTCTCGGTATGCTCCTGCATTTTCATAGCTATCGACAATTTTTCTTTTCAATTTTGAATTTAATGTTGTCACACTTTCAGTCAACATATAGATTGCTTCGGAAGTCGGAACTATCGATATCAATTGCGCCACCGACGACGACACATTTTTGTCTGCATTGTCTGGTTATTTACATGTACTCTTTGTCATGAAATTAAAATATTTCAAATACAAGTTAATAAAAGAAAAAGAGGAACTAATTTTTTTAAGGCCTATTTGAAATTTTAACTTATATTGTTACCTTAACGAACCCGTTACCCTGTATCCCAACGACGCCTTTACCCACTGTGCCATCGACGATGTTACTAAGATAAAGACGTAGAATAAAAGCCTTTCCTGTTATGTACTCACTATCCTCTCTTAAGTAAAATCAACACTATGTGGAACTGCAACGTCAACTACCTGAGTGACTTCTTAAAACATTATTTACTTAGATGTTTTTTGACGATCGATCAATGCCTTCTTAATGTATATCAAATGCCTTCTAGATGACTTCACATGTTCATATTTTATATACTGTGTCTCTTTTATTATCAAAATTTGCTTTTATGAAAATTCTTTTTAAAAAATAAAAATGCGCTTTGTTAGAGACAAACCATTCAAGGTCAGTAACTGCAGGTGTAAAAAATTATCATGACCCATAATTAAATGTTGTCACACTTTTCTTCTTTCAAACTACCTGGCCTTGGTAAAAAAAAAAGGCTGTAATATACATGCACTCTATCCTGCTAGCTGACACTAAAATTAATCCAAGCACAACATAGCTAGGAAATGTCAGGAAAACATTAAAAATCACTTCTTTACACACCAGTGCCTTATTTATTTATTCTTCAAATACCTATGGGTTTTTCTAACTTACTTTTCAATGCCTATTTGAAATTTTAACTTTATTCCTAGTGTTAGCTCATAATCACTTCTAGGCTACTCCTAGACAAACCTACACTTTTGCCTGGCCTAACTTACACCTAGCCTGGCCTACACCTAGCCTACTCCAGGCGCCTTCGTGTCTCCGTCGGTATCGAAGAATGCTTCAGAACCACGTGCGCTACCAATTGCGCCACCGACGACGACACACTGATCAATGTATTACCTGGTGTATTTACCTGTACTCTTTGTCTTGAAATTAAAATATTTCAAATACACATATATATAAAAAAGTGCAACTCCAACGAAGATAACGAATCCGATACCTGGAGGATAGTATTCCGACGACGCCTTTACCCACTGTACCATCGACGCTGTTACAACAGCTCAGGTGTAGAATAGTACCTTTACCTGTACTCACTAGCTTAGCCTCTCATGTTTTTGACGATCGATCAGTGCCTTCTAAACAATCAAATGCCTTGTATATGACTTCACATGTTAATATTTGATTGACTGTGTCTGTTTTTCATTATTAGGCCTAATATTTGATTGACTGTGTCTGTTTTTTTTTTTTATTATTAATACCTGCTTTTATGAAAACACTTTTTTAAAAAATAAACAAAGGATATGTAAGAGACAAACCATTAAAGGTCAGTAACTGCAGGTGTGTAAAAAATAAACATGGCCCATAATTTCATGTTGTCACACTTTCAGTCTATGTACATGTTTTCTTTCCCGGTGTTGGTAAAAAAAAATGGCTGCATAGGAAAATGTCAGAAAAAAATTAAAAATTAATTTCTTTCACTTATTTATTTTTATGTACAGACACAGATGTGTCTGTACATATAGCCATCACCTGCGTCTGTCGTAGTCGCCGTGCACTTTGACCACCGATAACATGATAAGTGAAAAACCGTTTTACCTTTTGGCTTGAAACCTACAGAACTGATGAGCTTTCATAATATGCAGGTCAAGTTTGAAAATCAGCATGATATGGCCATCTGTATGGAAGTTATGCTGTTTTTTCACTTTTTTCAGCATATATGCNCCCCTCTAAATCCGCCACTAATTTTGTTGGACTGTCAAGGTTTGTAAAGCCCAGAACTATACCTGTAATCCAACTTCTGACAGAAATAAGTAAATTCCACATGTTTTCTATATTTTCGTGATCCCCTAATATTTACACAGCATAATATTCAACGATACGTTGTATTTCGGGTTTTGGACTAGCTCCTATTTACCAGTTAACACTGGGGGCTTTTCTCTTTGTCAAACGTATCTTTTTGGTCGTCAACCGCAAGTACATCATACCTGAAGTAAGGCTTCTTTCAATTTTCTAAACACTCATTGGAGAACAAGTACAAATTAATTCGTGCTCTTGAAACCCTTTCGGGTAGATCTTGGCTGATCATACGAAAAGAAAAATCTTGATAATTCTTCCGTTTCGATCGGAAAGGCGAAAGAATGTGATCTTTAATTTTAAAGCTACAGCTGTATGTTAATTGATCCCAGCTTTGTTTTTATTTAAGAGGCTGTATGAACATTCAAACGATAAGTCGGCGTCGTTTAGCTCATTAAAGTTGTTAATAACTTCGATATCCGTTGTAGTTGGTCTTAAATTTTCATTCTCGGCGATGTTAAACACCTTAAGATATCGCGATTTACTTTGCCTCTCGGTATGCTCCTGCATTTTCATAGCTATCGACAATTTTTCTTTTCAATTTTGAATTTAATGTTGTCACACTTTCAGTCAACATAAAGATTGCTTCGGAAGTCGGAACTATCGATATCAATTGCGCCACCGACGACGACACATTTTTGTCTGCATTGCCTGGTTATATTTTACATGTACTCTTTGTCATGAAATTAAAATATTTCAAATACAAGTTAAAAAGAAAAAGAGGAACTAATTTTTTAAGGCCTATTTGAAATTTTAACTTATATTGTTACCTTGGTAACGAACCCGTTACCCTGAATCCCAACGACGCCTTTACCCACTGTGCCATCGACGATGTTACTAAGATAAAGACGTGGAATAAAAGCCTTTCCTGTTATGAACTCACTATCCTCTCTTAAGTAAAATCAACACTATGTGGAACTGCAACGCCAACTACCTGAGTGACTTCTTAAAACATTATTTACTTAGATGTTTTTTGACGATCGATCAATGCCTTCTTAATGTATATCAAATGCCTTCTAGATGACTTCACATGTTCATATTTTATATACTGTGTCTCTTTTATTATCAAAATTTGCTTTGATGAAAATTCTTTTTAAAAAATAAAAATGCGCTTTGTTAGAGACAAACCATTCAAGGTCAGTAACTGCAGGTGTAAAAAATTATCATGACCCATAATTAAATGTTGTCACACTTTTCTTCTTTCAAACTACTGGCCTTGGTAAAAAAAAGGCTGCAATATACATGCACTCTATCCTGCTAGCTGACACTAAAATTAATCCAAGCACAACATAGCTAGGAAATGTCAGGAAAACATTAAAAATCACTTCTTTACACAACAGTACCTTATTTATTTATTTATTCCTTAAATACCTATGGGTTTTTCTAACTTACTTTTCAATGCCTATTTGAAATTTTAACTTTATTCCTAGTGCTAGCTCATAATCACTTCTAGGCTACTCCTAGACAAACCTACACTTTTGCCTGGCCTAACTTACACCTAGCCTGGCCTACACCTAGCCTACTCCAGGCGCCTTCGTGTCTCCGTCGGTATCGAAGAATGCTTCAGAACCACGTGCGATACCAATTGCGCTACCGACGACGACACACTGATCAATGTATTTACCTGGTGTATTTACCTGTAGCCTACTCTTTGTCTTGAAATTAAAATATTTCAAATACACATATATAAAAAAGTGCAACTCCAACGAAGATAACGAACCCGATACCTGGAGGATAGTATTCCGACGACGCCTTTACCCACTGTACCATCGACGCTGTTACAACAGCTCAGGTGTAGAATAGTACCTTTACCTGTACTCACTAGCCTCTCATGTTTTTGACGATCGATCAGTGCCTTCTAAACAATCAAATGCCTTGTAAATGACTTCACATGTTAATATTTGATTGACTGTGTCTGTTTTTCATTATTAGGCCTAATGTTTGATTGACTGTGTCTGTTTTTTTTTTTTATCATTAATACCTGCTTTTATGAAAACACTTTTTTTAAAAAATAAACAAAGGATATGTAAGAGACAAACCATTAAAGGTCAGTAACTGCAGGTGTGTAAAAAATAAACATGGCCCATAATTTAATGTTGTCACACTTTGAGTCTATGTACATGTTTTCTTTCCCGGTGTTGGTAAAAAAAATGGCTGCATAGGAAAATGTCAGAAAAAAATTAAAAATTAATTTCTTTCACTTAGGCCACACTTTTTTATTTTTATGGATGACATCCTCTGGGGACCCCAAAATCGGTGCGAGCGGGCGAAAAAAAAACAGTCNTCTGCCAAGGAGGTTATATTTTCACCCCTGTTTGTCTGTCATCAACATAACTCAAAAAGTTATGGAATGATTTTGCTGAAATTTTCAGGAACTGTCAGAAGTGGGCCAAAGAGGACAATAACCAATAATAATCAACAGTTGCTGCCTTGGCAGAGGTCTGCACTCTCGGAGTGCTTTTCTGGTTTTGTTATGTTTTCCTTTATAATTTGTGACTTTTAACCCTCATCCGCCTAAGGCTCTGCACATTTTCTGTATTTTCTATAGGTTAAGCTCTCTTAACTGGGTCACATATTTAGGAATTGGTGATAATTATGCAGGTAAATGTTGTTTAATATTGCAAATAAGTTTACAAAAGAAAAAAATTGTGTAATGCTCACATTAATGCTATAGATGAATAACAGCGCCTTATTATCCTCAAACACATTGGGGTTATTCATATCATGTAATACAGCAAGATTAAAAGTTTGAATAGCAGCTTTATTGGAATTTTTTTATTGTTTTTTTGTGTGTGTTTTCTTTTTAATTTTTTTTTCCTAAACACTGGCATTTTCAACTCCCGTCCACCTGAAACTCTTTAGATTTTCTATATTTCCACATTTAATAAGCAGTTGCATAGGTTTTTATGTCTTTAAACATTATGTAATATTATTTTATGCACTGTCAACATTTTTCAGATATTGGGATTTTCATTATCTGAATTTGAATTCTCATGGTCCAGAAACTGTAATCTTATTGCAGGGGTGGATTGAGGCCGTCTTCTGGGTCTTTCAGATGACGGTCAGATATTTAAGTTTACATTGACTGGTATCAATTTTTTTCTGTTGGAAGACCATCAAAAGTGGAGGATGGATCAACAAAGATACTTTGGAATACTGTCAGAAAATATCTCTGGATCTGCTCCTGTTATTGAGCATGTTACCTGTTGTGCATGATTAAAAATCAGTGTTAACTGACTGTGCTATTATAAGCATTATTTATTATTGAATCAAAATTGACAAAATGACCTATTTTGCATCTTTATTTTTTGTTTTGTGTCTGTACATTTGACAGCTTTGCTGCCTTGTTTTGCGTTACCATGCTAATGCTAAGACCATTTTGCTGGGTTAGAAGCAATGTCATTATTCATTAAATGCATGTACATACTGAAATGATATCAATTTTGATTTAATCAATAAAATGCCAATATATATTAAATCACTGTTGCAGAGAGATCATTTTTATTTTAACAATAAGAATAAATAGACATATAAAAATATGGACCTTTGTTTAAGGTAATGACTGGTACAATGTAATTTTAATATTCATTTCTTAAAACATCCTTGTTTCATAACAATAACCAGTTCATTAATATATACTATTTTTATTAATTTCAAGTTATCTTTCAAGGCAATACCTTTAAATTGTTATTTAGAAAAAACACTGTAAAAAGACTTTATTCTTTTTTTATTAAGACATACATGAATCTATATTTTTAGGGCTAGTTTCAATTAATATGTCTTCAGGTAGCTTTTCTTCAATGGCTTTAAATTGGCTTGATGAGTGTTAATATGTTATGCTGTTATAATCTTATGTCATAAACTGAGCCACATATTGCACATCAAAGTAAATCTGGTGTTGAACTTCCCAGGTAAAACTTCAAGTCAGAAACAGTAGACTTAAACAGTTTACAGGGTACAGTCTGCATGTTGAGTCTCTTGTAGGCTTCGTATCTATGGCAACCACCAAATGAATAGTAATAATCACCACCCTCACGTCCTTTAATCCATAAAACATCTATTGGGGGCACTTGAGCTCTTGTTGCAGCATTCTGAAATGATTAAAAATACCTTTAAAATTTTGATTTGATAAGAATTTTGGCAAAACACACACAAACACACCTAGGATACAAGATATATTTTGGGTCCTAGCACACACACACACACACACACACATACACAGTGTTAGAATGACCAACAAGCTAGATTGATGCAGGCCTATCAATATAAGATACCTTAATTGTTGGTCATTCTCCCACTTTTATCTGCAACAAAAGATAGTACGCACACTTTCATTATCTCTTTTAGGTTAAATGACAATAATAGGGCGTTTAACTGAATAGAATAGACAGGAAATCTACCTGAATAACCTGCATCAAGGACTCCACTTTTTTCTCGTCTAAAACAGATGGTATAGGCCTAATTAACACGCGTATTGGAACGTCGTGAACCTCTTCTATATGAGCTGCATGGATGCTTTGGTCCCGTTGAACAGTTCCCATAGTCCTGTGGATATTTGATGGACAATAATTCTGTTGGCTTGCCTTGCTGTATTGTCCAGAAACAGGCGTAAGCCACAATGACGACGCACTTCTAGTACATGCACCAGTGCCTTGTAAACGTGAAAATGCCTTGGTTATTAAAGATGTAAATAGTGGCATAAAAAGACAATTCCCAGTGCGAATACGCATATCACAATATCTGCATATTATAAAAACGCCCCAACTGAAGAATATTACTATAGCACTTGTTCTATCTCAGTACTGGAAGGGCTAGAATCGGACATCACGCTGTCAGCGCACTTGCACTCCGGCGGAAGTAAACATTGGAGCAGGGTGAGTCGGGAAGGAAGATCGATCCCCAAGTTTGATTGGTCAGTGCGGGGAGATCCAATGAAAAGTACAACGAAGAAAGGGAAGAAACACGAAAAAAAGTAGATGGTGGCTGGTCGGTGCTATTATAGTAACTAAGAAGTCACGTTCTTGTAGATTAGTCAAAATTTTTATTCTAGAGCGCATGACAGTGAACGCAATGAGGTAAGCCTACACAAATAGTACAAGGTTTAAGCACGGCTATACCAGTAGCTGTTACATGTACTGACGTTAGTTGGCAATATTATTATTAGAGGAGTTGGATCTAGGGTGCTCTTTCTTTATCACTTATGAATTAATTTATAATTAGCTCCGGTGAACACGTTATTTGCTTAGGTTTAGTCTGTGAACTTTTTTAAAATTAAATTTTATTTTTTTAAAAATCCGATGAGATACCAATTTTGAGAAATGGTAGTCAAAATGCATGTATTTTTCACAGAGTACAGCACAGTACTATCTTTCATTTGTTTTACAGTGTGTGTAAAATATTGGATACAATGTTTCGCTTTAAATATTCAAAACAGTGATTTGTTTTATCATAGAAGGGTTTTATGTAATTGTATCAAATGGCAACATTTAATATTATATCAACTCCATAATTTTATTGCAGCAAATTATTTTAAAATCACATTGACAATAGCATCATGTCTGCTAGGCAAAAAGACAAAGTTTCCACCAGCCATAAGATGGCAGCACCATCCCAGAGTACAGCTTTTGAGGTGAAGAATACTAAGGAAAAAACCAAACTGAAGAAAAAGATTGCCACAATATTTCAACAAGACATGCAAAGGTAGGCCTATTTTATAGTGCAATAACAAGTATTTGCACAAATTATATTAATTTTATTTCTACAAAACCATATGTTTTGTTTGTAAAAACTCAGAGTTGATTTGATATAATATGATGTTATGTACCTTTACATATACATATGAGATTGATGTCCTAAACTTACATAATTTTGTACGCTTAATTCAAGCGTGGGCTCGAAATAGGACATTACGTTTTAGACTTACTTAGTGGATAACGCAATCCAAAGATTCCACGGTTCGTGTCAGATTTACGTAAGGTCGCGCAAAGAAAACCCAAGTCCACATAATGACCAGTTTAATGGTTTATTGGTTGACTCTGTCTAACTACATCATCTACGTGAAATCTCCCAGCTCAAGGCCGTCTCCCATGGCTCCGTCGAGCGGTCTCCTTCGAGTCTTCTTCAGTCTGCCCCCGATATTATTTCTAGAGGTCTTTTATACATATTTCTTATCTATAGGTGGATTCGGTGCTGCATTATTTCGCGGTACATACGGATTTTAATTATTGCACACGTCCACTCCAGTTATATAATTATAGGAAAGTCATAAAAATGAGTCGAGTGCACAAGCAATCGACTCTAATCAAATTAATTTACATGTCTGGGAATTATATTTGTGTACACTACAATGAGTTAAACCATGAATCCTTTTTGCTCTACTGAGTAAATTGCATGATTTGTACTGTATATATACTAGTACCAGTGACAGCTGGTCAGGAACAGAAATGAAAAAGACAAAAATAAATAAAAAAGAAAGAAAGAAAGAAAAGAGAATATATGTGAGTTAAGTTGGAAATAAGTGTTAAATTTTATCAGCACAGAATGTTGGCTCAAGATTGATATTGTGTCTTTTATTGCATGAACTGTTGATTTCATTTGTTTTGTTTTTTTAATGTTGAAATATGCTGTTAAGTTTTCAGACTTGTACTAAAATTTTCCTGTTAGATATAATGTATTTAAACTAAAATTAAAGGCTTGAAAATTAAATCTGACATTTGCAGTTGTATTACAGTTTACAATTTATATTCCAGGTTATTTAACAATGCTGAATTCTCAGACATTGTTGTGCGTATTGGTGGTGAAGTTATTCATATTCACAGTACAATACTGATGGCAAGGTAAAATGAAGAAAAATTGGCATTACATTCCATACATACGCACATACATACAGACAGACAGACATATGCATATAAATATAGTCATAAAAGAAAATTATGTGATGATTATTATAATAATTGTCTTGTAATGTTTTTTATTTACCACATAAATTTGCATGGTATATAATACTAAAAATATAATTTTAAGAAAGACATAAAGGACATGTGATTATTTTCTTAGTAACATTTACATCTTGTTTTCCTCTGTGTTCATATAAAAGCTACTAATTTGACAGCCCTACAAAACAAATACACTGACATTGGTGCCTTCTGAGGTCTTTGATACATGGATGGGACTCTTCCTTTTGGATTAATTTTCTTACTTTTTACTGCATATGTTTGAAAAGAGGGTTTGGAAAGTTTCTGGTATTTGTATCACTATGTAAATAAAAGAACAAAGATGGCATATTATGCAGCATTTGTTGTCAATATTTCTTTGATAAAAAAGACCTTTAATATATGTGTTTGTTTCCATATTAATATATATATAAGCATTTTAGAGTAGTCCTTGAAATTACCACATTTTTTAAGATACACCCACTACAACATAAATGTATCACAATTATGATACTGTGACTTATCTGGTATGTTTTTATATAGCATTGCCCAATGAATGTTATGTTCAGTAGTACAAAGTGTCACAATATTATGCTTACCGGAGACTGCCAGACCTGTGCTGTTATGGTGAGTAGATATTGTCTTACAATTTTTATCAAAATTGCTAGGGCAGAAATTGTATTTCTTAAATATAAGAGAACCCCTTAAGTATCACACTCTTTTTTTTTTTTTTGCTTCCTTAAGGCTGCCAGACCTGTGCTGCTATCTGGTCAAAGTAAAGAATGAGAATGATACAGTAGACTGGACAGGACTGTCATCCCAGCAAGCTGAAATGGCAAGAAAACTATTGAGGTATTTATAGGCCCCAGTAGATTTTGTTACTTTTTCAACTGTTTGTATAACATAATCAAATAGGCAAACAATTTCTTCAATATGCTTTTTAAATTCTGAATTGTACAGGGGCCAACACTGCTGTCTTTTTTATGATTAATACTTGCTGGGGTAGTGCTAACACTCGCCAATTTAGCCAAATGCTAAAACTGACTTAAATTGGCTAAACACAAAGGGCTTGATTTGACTAATTTTAGTCAAAATAAAGCCATTTGGATAACACATTGACCAAAAAAGTGGTAATTTGGCTAAGCTAAAAACATTGCTAGCGCTACCCCAGACTTGCATTTTTAAATACTTAAGTATTAAAATATTATGCAAAAAAAAAGAGGAAAAATATCCTAACCCAAAATTACTTATAGGTAATGACAAAAATGTTTACACTATCTACCAAAGTATGATTTATACTTAATGTGTGGTTATCGTATTATTTCTCATCACTTCACGATGGTCACGATGTGGTATTAAAAAAAAAACTGATCGTCTTATTCCAGAGAGCTCTACTTTCAAAACAACTTATCAGTAGCAAGAGGACTGTGGAACAAATTACAGAAAAGTCTCTGTGCATCTACAGATAGAGCTCAAACCAAAGACATCAATGAGAACAACAAGCTCACGGTGAATACTACCACTGCTCAATCAGAACTGAAAGATCTGAATGAATCTGTTGTGAACAATGAAAAAAATCAGCAGTCAACACAAGTTCTGATATCTGCTGAGAATAGAGAAGATGAAAATGTACCTAATGGAGATGCTGTCTCAAGTAATGAAGATGCCAGTGTGCTTAGGATGCCTGATAATACTCAGGGTTCACTTCAAAGCACTGAAGACCCACCTGTTGCAATTACAGTATCAGGTTCACCACAAGAAAATACACGTATCAGGGACGATAGCATATCTGTCTCAGAACAAGCCACCAGTCAAGAGACTTTCTCCGTCTCTGTGGACACTTGTTCACGTATACGTTATGAACCCTGTGATGACATTGCCAAAGATTTGATAGAACTGTATCTGTCTGGAGAAAATGGTGATGTGATACTCAAAGTGGGTGAGGTGACGTTTAAATGCCATAGGTATGTTCACTTACATAACTATAGTCTTATAGTACTTTCATCTGTTTAATGCTTGAAATGAAATAAAATTACTGATTCAGAGTGAATATCTTAAATTAACAAAGATGATAATTCATAAATGCTTAGAAAAATTGAATAAAACTGTTGCATGAGCAAAGTTCTCAGAAACATATTTCTTTTTTGTAATTTCTCAAGTTTCTAGACATTGCGCTATCTTTGATGATTTCTGTTAATATTTACCATCATGTTGATTCCCAGATGTATCTTGGCTTTGCGGTGCAGTTATTTTGAGGCCATGTTGGGGGGAGGCTGGGCTGAGAGTCAGGCGGGAGAGATCAAATTGGAGAGGTGAGACTACAAATAGCCATTTTTATTGCTTCAGACAACACCCAGGTCCTGGTTTCACAAAAAAAAAAAAAAAAGGTTCCCTGGCTAAGAACATAATTACCAAGGTTAAGTGGTCACATGGGCACATCTTACCCTATCAGGGGCAGTGTAACATCACTCTCGTGGAAATCCTAGGCAACTAAGCCAGGGAACTGACTTCTGTTTTTTTTTTTTTTTTTTTTTTGTGACATCAGAACATGCTTAGACTAAATGACTGACTGGTTAACATCACTCACATGAGAGTGACATTCAACATGTCTCTGATTTTAAATTGCATGGTGAGGAATTTTTTAGTTTGCTGAAGGTAGGTGGTCTATTGTCTGATATAACTTCAAGTTAACTTGAATGACATGAACTATGCATTAAAAATAAGAAAAAGTGATATATGTGCCCAACGCTGCCACAGCTGTAATACACTCTCATGTATTATGTATTTCACTATATTTCAATATTGGCATTTCTAGGGCAAGGTCCTTTTGCTGTAGTTTTTATGTACAGACACAGAACTATGACATGAACTATGCACTTGAAATAAGAAAAGTGATATATGTGCCCAACGCTGCCACAGCTGTAGCACACTGTTATGTATTATGTATTTCAATATATTTCAATATTGGCATTTCTAGGGCAAGGTCCTTTTTTTTTTTTTTTTTTTAACTGATGATTTCTTTGTGCATAAATTTTTTTAGGTAAACTTGTACTTTTGCATCAGCTACTTTACTTACATCTTAACCAATTTGGATGAAAAAATGAAAATCTATGAATCTGTTTCAATAGGGTTGTAGAAAGTAGATAGATAATTTTGGTATTCTGTCTATTTACACACAGTACACTTATTAAATAAGATAAAGTGTGCATGTAGAAGTAAAGTAGATAGGAGAGAATTTAGGTGAGAGTCCATTTAAATATTTATAAACTAATGTGATATTGTAAATTGCTGTAGACAGTAACATATATTCCAAATCATCAAATCATACATAAGCACCAAGATAAGAAAATTGGAATTTTAAATACCCCCTTCTGCCTTAACCATCACATACTGTATCATCTATAATTAAATCTAAAATTGTCATTTGGAAATGATACCAGTATAAGGCGAAGCACCAACATAAAAAATTCATTATGCATAAAAAGCTATCGGGTATTATAAATACTATAAAGCTAACTGCTGCTGGGAGCATCACTGTATATAATAGCAACTAATACAAGAATGAAATCAACTGTATCACCTGTCTCTCCAGTTATATGTTCAATCTGAAATTCTCCAATACCCCTTTTTTTCTCACCAACAGCAAAAAAATATAACACTCTGGCCCTCCCCTCCTTATGCTGTCTGCTTACTTTTGTTAGACAAGTGATCAAGTGGAGTTGCTCGTGGAATTACATGAAATAACTATGTTTACATCTGGCTCACTCACGTGTAACTATTTGGGGATGTGTCCAGTGCACACTAAAATCAAGGCATAAGCTAAGTGGTACCTGTGCTATGTTTTAAGGGCATATATTGGATAAAGAAAGCAAAGATATGCAGTTACTTCATAAGTGTTAATGAAACAAAATGCCAGGATTTTCTTCTCTACAGAACCTACATTCAACTTGGGTCTTCAGCCTCCTTGTGTAAGAACTCTAAATATCTAATTTTTTCACCATGAATGGAATTAATCTCAAAATAAAAAGTAAAGTTAGGCTTTAAAAATTATGGATGATAATTGATAATGCATTCTGTTTGTACATTGTTGGATATAGCCAACCTTGGTTTATATTTCCCAGGTAATTCTGTTTCTCTGTATCAAACTCAAATTCTCATTTATGTGTCCTTAATATTGACAGGTCTGACATCCAGAGCATTATATTTAAATATAAATTATATGTCCTTTAAGTTGACACAATTATACCAATGCATTCACACGTCTTTAATTACAATGTTTCAGACTTAATCCTGCTGCATTGCACCAGCTACTGCTCTACATCTATGGCGGCTGCGTGAATCTCGATGGGACAGACTGTAGCATTCTGGACATGGTGATGGCAGGAGACATGTATGATGTACCTGGATTCAAAGATGCAGTAGAATTTCTCATAAGAAGAGATTATTGCCATCATTTTCATAAGGTGAGCTGTAAAATGTGACTTTGTTTGGTAGGGTATGTGATAAATGTGTTAATTTAAAGAGCTTGTGACAGAAATCAGTGTCTATTGTATGTTTTACACATTAACTGAACAAATTTATTATTTTTACTATTTTTGTGGGTTACTTTAAATGTAGTGTTTGTCAACATATCAGTCATTACAGAAAAGACAAAGTCAAACTCTTATCTTTGTAGTTAGTATAATGCAATTGCTTTTTGATTATTTGGTGATTTAGAAAATTAAAAATTTTGAAGTTTTTTTTTTTTTATAAAGGTGTAACACACTTTGTATGCCTTTAAACGGTATTCTATGTAAATGCCTTTCTAGCCTTGCCCTCAGTGTCTATGTGGAGTGGTAGAGGTGCTCCCTGTAGCAGACACCTTCCATCTGTCTACTTTGAAAGATGAAGCCTTGAAGTGGACTGCACAACACTTCACCAGAGTCTGGCAGGAGAAAACGTTCACCGACCTCCCTCAGGAGATCATTGACAAGTGTTATCAGGCTCTGGTGGATAGTTTGGTAAGTGCAATTTGTTATTCCCCCCCCTCCCCCCATTCCACCCCATTCCATCACACAGGTACACTTGGAACACATTCCAGGCGCGGATCCAGAGATATTTTCTGACAGTCTTCCATATTATATTTGTTGATCCATCCTCCATTTTTTGACAGTCTTCCGACAGAAAAAATTAGATACCCGTCAATGTAAACTTGAAAATCTGACCGTCTTCCGGAAGACCCAGAAGACGGCCTAAATGCGCCCCTGCATTCAGCCACATTGATTAAACATGCACGCATGCATACACAGACTCACATTTAAATGCAATTTCAGCCCAAACTGGTCATGCTAGTGTAAGATTTCTTATGCTAGGGGGTGGTGATCCATTAGTTAAGTTAAAAAATAATTCTTTAATGAAATAGTCTGTTTGTCTGTTGGCAACATTATTCAAAAAGTTCATAGTAAGGAGGGATTTTGATATAATTTTCAGAATAGCTCTGAAAAATTTATTTTTTGGAGAGAATATTGATGGACTGACTACAGTACAAGTAACTGATCACCTTCAGTTAGCCAGGTAAAGCAAGGCTCTAATTACCTCCACCAAGGAGGTTGTGTTTTCATCCCTGTTTGTCTGTCATCAACATAACTCAAAAAGTTATGGACTGATTTTGATGAAATTTTCAGGAACTGTCAGAAGTGGGCCAAGGAAGAGATGATTAGTTTTTGGTGGTGATCCTGATCAATAATAAATCAATAATCAATAATAATAAAAAATCGCTGCCGTGGCGGAGGTCTGCGCTCTCAGAGTGCTTTTCTAGTTAAAACATGTTTATATAGGGTATTTTTATGTTTGAAACTAGAAAGCGTAATAGTCCATAATAAGAACAACCCCAATAAAATTTTGTTTTGATTTTTTACGCCATATTTCTTTTTGCTGTATATGTAACTGCGTCAAATTTGATTTTCATTACAAATGATGAAATATATTTGTTTTTATGTAGAGAGTGGACAGTGTGGTCAGCACAGTCCTAGAATGCCACAGTTTGATTGGAAGCTTGGCCAGGGTAAAAAGAACAGAATACCTACACCAGCTTATAGATCATGTTATTGGTAAGTGATCCTGCACTCTGCCTATATTATAGGACACGATGAAACACCATTTAAAAGCGGGACATAATGTATTGTAAGTTAGAGTATCAATTAAAATCAGGACACAATATTTCATAAGATTTAGTACTATGAAAAACCAGGCCATTATGTTTTAAGTTCTTGCACCATTTAAAATCAGGATATAATTCTTCAGTATCAGGATGCAAGTTTTCAGCCGTAACACATTATAAAGATACCCCATACCCTCTAGTTAAACAAGTATATTAATACAACCATATTAAAACAGTTTTATACTTACACGTGTACACTGTTTGCATATATACATCTTTAAATATATTTTACAGATAAATGCACAGAATATCTATCAAAGCACTTTGAACGTGTCCTACAGTGTGTTGTTGGGAACACAGGTCCAGGAGCCGAAATCAAGGTGAATGAACATAAGCTAAAGCAAAATTTATAACTATAATTATTAAGATTATTTATTTATTCATTTGATTATTTATTTAATTATTTCTTAATTTGAATATTTATTTTAGCTTTTTTTAAAAATTCTGTTATCAAATTCTTTTTTGTTTTAGCCAAATTTTATATAAATGATGTAAATTAAAAAAGAAAACTCTTTAACCCTTATGCTGAGATTTTTGAATTTTGGCCATCACCTTAAACGATGACCACTGGGTTGGATGCAATTCAAAACTTCGTCACGATACGTGGCAGTTGGCAAGGTTCAGTGGCAAAATTAACTTGTGGTATTCATCAATTAAAGATGAACAAGAAATATACTGGTAAATTGTCCTTAGAACAATTCAACAAGAAGCGCTTTCTGTAGTTATAAGTCAAAAACATGTTTGAAATTTAACCTTTTATCATTTAAAGGAGACAAAAAAGGGAGAAAAAACTCACCATGGTCATGGGAAATAGATGTGATATAAAACTTGTTTGTTTCCAGTCTCGCACCATGGGATTTGACCTGATCAATGATCTCTTTGATGAAGCCATAAAACGGATATCTCCCAAAGCCATCAGCCCTCTGTATAAAACTGTGTGTGACATAAATGCCAAAGCTAAACTAGAAGGTTGTTTTTGGACACAGGTAGGATTAATTTGCTTATATGTACATACTCATGCACATGTGCATGCATGCTCACAATGATACACATGCTTTAAGGGTCAACAAACAAGATATCACGAAAACAGTAGCATTGTGATGCTGGCAAAACACTATTTTTGATAAACCAACATAAGACATCGTGATGACATGTCCGAGATGTATGGGTTTTGAATAACAAATTTTATACATTTCATGCTTGGTCTTATATACAAGTACATGTATGAATGTAGACTAGTATATTGTATACTTGTGGCAAATCTCGAGGGTTCAGGTATTTCAGACACATCATGTTGCAGCTTGTGCTTGAGTTTTCTATCATCAACGGCATTCTTGATAACCAATTATGTAAATACAAGTAAGGAGATATGGAAATTCCCATTTGCATAATTGAATTCATTGTACATAATCCAGTTTTGCGACCACATTCAGAGGAACATAACTTGTTTACTATAGGATTTTAAGAACCTGCTGTTGTGTCTGGAGGAGAAATGTTTACAGTGTTTGGCTAAGGTTGGACATTTGGTGGTAAACACAAGGAAGTGGAATCAACTGGACCCAGAGCAGAAGGAGAAAGTAGCAGAAAGTAGGTAAACAGATAATATCAGGATTGAGAGAATGTTTCAGCCAGTTTCATTTATCATATTAAATATTTACAGTGTCTGTAATCATTTCGTCTCTACCCACGCTGGTTAAAGTTATGTATACTGACTGCAATGTAAAAAAAAAGCAGTTGGGGAAACTTAAAATTAACATGAAAAAAAAATTAAATTAAAAGAGGATGTCTCTGATGGATAGGAACTGAGTGAGAATTGTGTTTCTGTTGTAAAGGTAGCTACATGTACAGTAACTGAAGACCTCGGAATAAAAGAAGGTTGAGGGTGAAAATACAGATGCAATAAATTTTACAGAGCATGCTGCCAAAGATTGCTTTCATTATTAATTATGGTTCTTGGCAGGCAGAAACTTACTAAGGTTAGAGACATAATACTGTCTGCTTAACTTGGACTACTAGTGCCTTTTCAGGTGTAGCAAAATGAAGTGCAACAGCAAAATGCATATTCACATTTTTCTTTGGTTGCAAAATGTGGTTCTACTAGTATTGTGGCATTTATCAACCAACTGTGTTTTGCAACTGGTTGCAAAATGTGTTTGGTTACAAAATGCAGCTGTACACACTTTAGGCTTATAGATCATCTGGGTTTTTAGCTACATACTTTAAAAAACTATGTACTTTGTATTGTTTGGTGAAAATACCTTAAAATCAAATTTTCTACCCTGTAGTTAGCATAATAGTCCAGACACTAATTCAGAACGTGGGTAACTTATTTCTCTATTTACTTATAATGTATGGATATATGCATGAGGAGTGATATTTCCTGTCACGTAGTTAATGGATGCTTGTTAAGCTGTTGTATTACTATAATATCTATTGTTAGACAATGCGTGATTCTATGATATGTTATTATGTCATTTAAAACAAATTCTTAGCCCAGGCATTGCACTTCCTTTCAGCTGGTGCCTTAAAGTTTATCTGTATAGCTCATGATAAAGTGACTGCAAAACGGCCAGTGCTCACCAGCTCTCTAATGGTAAGTAATATATAGACCCCGAGTCAGCGAGGGTTATGTGGCATACATGAGTGCGTATCACGAGTGGATATCACATAACCCCCGCTGACTAGGGGTCTATCTTATTTAGACCACGGTCCATGAACAGGTTATAACGCATTCATGCAGTTATGCGAGTTACACCACGTCTGAGTCTTGTTCTTCACTTCCACCGTTGTCTAAGTTCTAGTGAGTTCATTCTGGTACTTCATATCCTGCTATTCTGGAGCGGTCTACCAGTATAATTGCAAATATTTTGTTTAAGCCAAATATTGAATGGTTGTTCTTGAATTCAATAATTTTGAGTTAAAAATTTAAAGCATATTTGAATAAGTTTGATGTTGTGCTTTTGAATGAATATATATATGATAAATTTTTGAAGTGAATGAATTAGATCTCTTTGGATCACTTGCATCTTGGACAATGGTTGAATTATTGTAATAAATGATTCAATTTTTCTTTTCAGACTCGCCAACAAAAGACAAGTATTTCAGCATCTAAAGGACCTGAAAACTCAAAAAATGGGCTACAACCAGGTAAAGGAGCTAGGCCAAAGTCTTCAGTGGCAGTGGCTGAAGCTGGGGTAAATTCTAGCAGCACAGGAGCTCGGCGGAAAACTGCATCTACTTTCACAGGAAAGAGACAGGATTCTGAACCGAGAAATACCAAAGATAAAACAAAAAGAGAAACAAAAAGCACCAAAGTAAAGCCCACAGATTCTTCCACAGTTAGTGTGACAAAATCGATCTTTAATGTGCAGTCCCCAAGAGGGTTAGAGGCTGGACAGGATACAGCTATTGGTCTGAGGATGACCCCTGTCCACAGTGATGAAGTAGTGTTTGAAAGTGAGCTCGAGGAAGAAAACTTTGAAATTCACTGTTGTGATGTGAGCTGCAATGGGTTTTGTGTTTCTTATGGTGGTGCTGTTGATTCTATATCTGGTATCGCATTTGAATCTGATTTTTTGATCCCAATATTCTCTTTGACTTATCAAGAAAGTATAAGGGATGCAGATCTCTGAAATTTTCTTTGAATTTTTCAAGTTGTTATAAGATGTATGGTGCTTTTGATGGATGAGTTTTGCTGCAGGAATTACTAAAGAAATTAAAGTATCCCCCCCCCCAAAAAAAAAAAAAAAGAAACATATATACCAAATTGACATATCACATTGAATGGGATTTCATTTTTGAAAGGATATTTTTTAATTAATTTTATTGGCACATTAATCCTTATGAATTGAATTTAAAAACTTACAGCAAAGTAGCAAAAGGCATTTTCTAAATTATGTGTTTATTGTTTTTTAGTTTTTTTTCTAGAACTTTGTTGTGTATTTTCAAATGACTTGATGTACAATAACTAAATGGACTATTGTCTACTCACAATTTTGTCAGTTGACTGTGCTAATGAAACGTTAAAACAAAACTAAGCTTGCTAAGTGTACAGGTTTGTGTCAGTTTCACTGACAAATAACAAAAACCTGATCTGTTTTTGGTATATAGTTTGATTTTCTACTGTTAGTGTACCATGTGCTATCTAAGATAATTCAATTTTTTATTTTATTATATTAATATATTTGATTCTTTCACAGTTTTACAAAAAGACCATTACCCAACATATTTACAGTGATACAAAGTGATATATGATGAATTTTAATGAAAAATAGTTCTACACAACAGACTTGAGTTAATATAATAGCAAACTTATGTAGTATATTATTATTCTATGGATGAACATTCTAATTTATATGATAATAGGACATTTAATTATTTCCTGCAGACATTTTCTGTGGGTTAGTATCGTGATAAGAAAGGGATGATTCCATGTATAACATTTCATCAATTATTTTTTTGTTGTTTTACAAGGTTTTCTCAGATTTATATTTGAAAGGTTTTTTAATTTTACTTTTTACAGCACAGCTCATGCTTACTTTAATTAAACTACCTCATTGTACCTACTTAAAGTATGTTTTGCTGCATAGTTAATGTAAGTAAATGGCTGCATTCCAGCGAAACTACTTTTTGCATGGACTTTTTTCTGATTTGATTAAAGGCAGTTTAATTTTACCTCAGATAAATAACAAAACGGCTATCGTCAAAGTGAAATAAAAAATAAATTCAGTTCGCAAAATATGAAGACCAGAAACCACTAAATGGACCAATCACTGTTATAATGAATGTAGTTCAGTGAGAGAAAATTAGTGCTTTTTTCCGTTTTTTTCCCTGACATTTGTGTGTTGTAGGGTTAATTTTGGTGTCAACTAGCAACCTAGGGTGTAAACTACTGCCAGTTTACCAGGCACAGGTGTCATGCAGTCCTCTGGCGGAGGCAGCTACTGACTGTGAGCGGTGCAGTGGTTTGTTTACAAACAGAGGGGTGCACATGTTCAAGTAATGCCGTAAGAAAGTTTGCTTGATGCCATTGGGGGTTCTGTCAGTGTGTCTGCTGTCCATGGGGATGGGAAATGTTTCACCCAATTATTTTGTTTTGCAGGCATTTCTTTGTATGGCCGTCAATGGGAAATTATTCGGTGGTTGCTGCGCTGAAACGCCTACACGCAGCGCACATGCTTAGGGTTCCGTCCAAGGGAACCACGTACGCGGTCTGCCTTGAAGCGCGCACGTGACACAGCCTATTATCTCATGGGGAGGGGGGGGGGCATACATTTCTAAAGAAGTCATGTTTTTAAATTCTGTTTATACATTCATTTAGCATCTTAAATGAAACGATGTTTTGTTCTAAAATCAAATTTTTAAATCATGTTTATACATTCATTTAGCACCTAAAACTAAAACCCTTTCCTAATTTTATAGGGTGTGTGGACCCGTTTTTAGTCAAATTAAGGTCCTTTGGGCTTGAAGCCAAAGGTCTCATTAAGAATAGAGGACTAACTAGTCCAAGGGTCAAATATGGCCTACCCACTTGAATGCTTCCCCACGGGATATCTATTCAGTGTCTATTAGCGGACTAGACGGCAAGCTTTGTAGTGGGTCGCCATATTTGACCCTCGGACTAGTTAGTCCACTATTCTGAATGGGACCAAACATCAACACGTTTGAAAGTGCCCAAGCAGAACAGGAGAAAGGAAGGTAGTTAGAAAAACGGTGTCTCTCAGATGTAAAGATATATATATAACTTCCAACTCTTTAAGTGTCATCTTGGTTTAAAATACCGAAAAGACGACATTTTGTTGGATCCTAGTGTAGATATTCTAATAACTTAACTGCCTATAAACAAGGTGTTGTATTCAGCTCCTTGATAAGAATAAGCATTATCGCTCTTACACACGTTTCACGGTATGGTAGAGATGGATCAGTTGGCATGCAGATTACATCAAACTTTATCTCAGGCCACCGTAAATAATTCAGGAATAATGGCTGTTATTTTAAGGGGCCTTTTGGTGTAGTGACAACATATTTGGTATCTAAATGATCAGTACGAGGGACCACACTAGTTTTAAGTGCAATAGTACTTTCATCTTGAAATAAACTTTGAAGACAAGTGGTCGCCAAAAAATAAAATAAAAAAATAAAAAGTATAGCACTTCAAGTTAAGTTCTTAATTAAATGTACTGGCATCCCAACCATGGACAAAATTCGTTATAATGTCCAAGTCCCAACTCTGTGTGAAACTCTTGGACCAATTTATAAAACTGACACTCCAGATATGAGTTGAGGTCTTAGGAAAAATTGAAAAATAAAAGTAAATAATAGATTAATGAATATATTGAAGTAAACAGAAAAATCAGTAAAATGCAAAAGGTCAGGGGGAAGGGTGGAAAGGCAGCCAAGGTCCTTTTAATACTGAAAAGTATATTAATTGGGCTGGTCCACCGGTCCTTACATGTAATTACGCTTTTTACTCTATTTCTGCGTGAATTCTCCACAAGTTCTCCTGCTGTTAAGGATGTTCCGTATAGGTGACCCTCTTACACATTTTCAGACTATAATTTAAGTAGCCAATCTCTCCAAATAAACGCCCAAATAAGTGAGCCGCTCGAGATGAAGAGAGGGCCTCGGGCGAGGAGGGGATAGATCTATCAATCACACGTCTTATGATGTGTCTTTTATATTGAGTGATATAAGTATATGGTAATTTTGTAGTTGGACGGCAGTTCAGAGAGCCCATGAATATGAACAAATTTAATGCTCTGTACAATTGTTATAATTATCAAAGATAATTAGCGATAAGTTCCTGTCCGACGATAAGGTAATGTCCGACTCCCATACCTCTTTGAGATGACAGATAACACGTCTAAGGGGTACATTTCATATAAGTCACGCTGGCACTTAGAGGAAGTATGGCACGACTTAAACAACTTCATCGTATATTTGTTGTAGGATCATTATTTGCAGTTACTTTATATCTTGTACACGTAACAGTCCAAAACAATTTGTTTTACCGCGATTCTCTCCAATACGGGACACAGAAAGGTAAGTTTGTGTTGAATTTGACTATGTTGGTTGTAGAAAGTGGTGGCCGAAAATGAAAAAATGAAAACGTTTAAGCTACTCTAAAAGACGACATATTTAAGACATATTTCTAAACGACAACATTTATTACTTCTTCATTTTTTCTGTTGCAAAAGGTGCATTAGCATAAATTTATGAGACATATTTTGAATCAGAAAATTGCTTTCATAGTAAGATCATGGATTACAGTGGTTTTATAAGGAACAATATAAATATAACGTTACTCTCATTTTGTCTATTTCAGACATAAACTCAGATCTGAAAAGAGATTCACAGATTGAAGAGAGACAGGTAAAATTTCTATAAAATCTGGGCTTACAATGTATGCGGCATTTCAAAAATAGACTTAGTGCAATGAGGCCGTTTTGTTTCATGGTATTTCCTGCACGTCAAAGATTTCCTAAAAATATTTAGTTTCATTGCTGTGGCGTTCCGTCCTTAAATTTAAGCCCCAAGGCATGGTGCGTAAAATATACTGACGCTTTGGTTATAATGTTTTAACGGATGATGGTCATCTTTCCATATGGCGCCACCTTGTTGAGTGTCAACTTTATGTTAAGTGACAGAGGAGATATATAATAATATGACAGAATGTTCCTTTTTCAGACCTTCTGAACAAATTTGTTTTCATTAGACGGTTGACCTGAGGTTGAACAACCTCAGCAATATCCGGATGGCACCATAGACGTACATGTAGGATTCGGGTGGGATGGGATTGAGGGGGGGGGGTCGTGAATGGCGGAGGAGGATAGATAAAAACCCCTTTACATTGGACGGCGTCCTTTTTGCGATCTTTGTGCGACAATGAAACTGCCACAGCTGTGGTCGTAAAAAGGAGGCACAAACATCGCTTTGGTTGCAGACTGAATGCTTAATGATCGACCTTTTGTCGGCACGTAAAATATTATTTTTTCACTCTCAAACGACGCCGTACTACGGGGCGCAGAGAGGACGCGTCCAGTGTAAAGGGGACGTGTCAACCATGAGGATAATAATAACAATAATAATAATTTTTATTATTTTTATTATAATTTAACAATAAAAATTCAGTAGTCGGAATTTATTTCCCTTGCGTGGATTAGGATGTGTAATGGCTTACAGCAATTTATATAACTGTAAGCCGAGGATATTATCAAGCGACGCCTACTGAAAAGGCGCAGGATTTTGTACAACATTTAAGGATTAAGGTGTCAGTTTCTACATCTGTTTAATAAAAATTAAAACGTGTTTGAAAATAAAAGCTCACGTCACACTTGCTCTACGTTTGGTGACTTAAGCGCTACACGGCTTTGGACTGTTGCAAAGATGAAGAAATTTTAAAAACTATTTTTTCCAGACAAGCGTGGACCAGCGTCATCCAGTTTTTTCTCGATGGGATGCTATGGAACTCAGGGATGTTTCCGTGTTTGGGAAACACAGGCAGAAGAAAGGTCTAGAATGCTTCTCTATCTATCTATCTATCTATCTATCTATCAAACCAGACTCCCTAAACTGTACATATTTTATTTTTCATGAATATTCTTCTCCTTACACTTAGTTTAACGATTTAAGGCAAAGACAAAGTTTTCATGAACAGAAATAAATATTATCTTTTCTCTCTGTTATCGGTGTAAACATGCATTTTGTGGTACTGTCCTGTTTTAAAATTGAACGCTAAAAGATCTAACATTAACAGTTGGTTTATATTTCTCAATTGGAATGTTTCAGGTTTTCTTACCATTGGCATCCCGTCTGTCAAACGAGCAAAGGGAGCCGTGTATCTGTTGCAGACGATAACTTACATAATAAACATGACGTCACCAAGTGAGAGGGAGAAAATTGTATTACTGGTGTTCCTGGCAAATTTTGACACACATTACAATGAAAATGTCTTGAAAAATATCAGCGCCAAATTTGATGGCTACATCAAGAGTGGATTTATCCTAGTGATGCAAGTTCCAGAAAAAAATTACCCTCCGTTAGAAGATTTGAAAAGAAATTATAATGATTCTCCAGAGAAAGTAAAATGGCGATCGAAACAGAATGTTGATTATGCTTTTATGTTTCTGTACGGAAGAAATATTTCAGAATACTATATTCAGATTGAAGACGATGTGGTTTCAGCCCGTGGATTCGCCAAAGACATACGTGCTTTTATCATAGCAAATAGCAAAAAGCCATGGATATGTTTAGAATTTTCTATTCTTGGATTTATTGGGAAACTGTTCAAGTCCAAAGACCTGGAAAAACTTGCAAGGTACTTGATTTTATTTTATGACGAGCAACCTTGTGATTGGCTTATTGATCATTTCCTTACTTCAATGACTCAGAAAAAGCGTATCTTCTACAAGCAGTCTTTATTCCAGCATCAGGGTGACTGGTCTTCTTCGGAAGAAAAGTCCCGGAAAGGACCTAATACATCGCGCGACATTTACTTCAAAGATAAAAAAGTAAATACCATTCAAGGAGCGTTAAAGGGAAAGTCGTGACTTGCAATTACACTTCTGTAGCTATACATGTAAATATTAGGAGCAAAATCGTCCTTCCAGAATATTTTTAAGTAAGCTTTTTTTTTACTTTTCAAGATAAGAAGATAGAATTAAGGTTGTATTTCATGGTACGTGAAAGGGCACTAAAGTACGAGGGTTGATTGATAAGTAGTGAGACTCATATAGAAGGGGAACACATTTTACAAGTATTTTTCTTTATTTTTCAACATAGTCTCCTTGAGTATTTATACACTTTTGCCAGCGAGTTTTGAGAGCCTCTATGCCACTTTTATAGAAGCCCTTCTCTTGGCCGTTCAGAAACCCCTCCACTTCACGTATGACGTCATCATCTGACACAAAGTGAGCACTTGAAATGGCCTTTTTCAATTTGGGAAATAGATAATAGTCAGAGGGAGCAAGATCAGGCGAATAAGGTGGATGTTCTATCAGTTCAAAGCCACACTCGTTGATTGCAGCCATGACAATGACAGACTTGTGAGCAGGGGCATTGTCCTGGAGGAACAGTACACCTTTCCTGAGCTTTCCGCTGCCTCGTCGACATAAACTAACCAAATGACACCAAACTTTGGCTACACACCTTTAAATAGTCAGGAAATAGAAGGGCTGAAAAGGGATATCCCTGCTTAACCCCTTCCCCACGAGGCTCACTACTTATCAATCAACCCTCGTAATTTTTTCAAGTATGCATAACTTTCTCTCAACGTGTTTGTGTACTGTCACATTAACATATCTGTATAAAGATAGTAAAAGGACTAGTCAGCACGTTAAACAATCATCTTAAAATCAAATAGATATTAAATGTTGAAAGAATTATTTGGAGACCAAAAAGTTTACTTCCATGGCAGAACAGACACGGACAGAAGATCACAGAACTAACTGGTTATTAAGTGTGTCAGTAAAAAAAATAAAAAGAATCCCAGTTAGTCCCAGACCTGTATAAGCGTTCGTGACTTTCGCATTATGTGTGGGACAAGAAATTCGCTACGTGATTTATTCCAGATCGAGCGTCAGCGAGGACTCAGTTAGGGGTACTCTTTGTACAACGCAAATTGGAAACTGTAATAGTGGCAGTGTTTGGCAGGGGCAGGCCTACGGCCACTACAATAATCTTGTCACCAGGCTCCGTAAATTTTCTAGATTATTCGTCATTTTTGTGAAAATAGCCATTTATATGCTTAAAAAGAAAAATGTACAAAGATTGGCGTATGTTGAAAAAACTATGATGGGATTCGAGCAAAAATTCTCTTACTATCTCACTAGAATGGAATATCTTATCAATGTGTATTTAAGCTACCCCTGATTCATATTCGCAGCAGATTACAACCCAGTGTGAACACAGCAAAATGAGTATTTTTGTCAACTTTCCAACATTTTAACAGTATTGACTTCAGTGCCGGTTGCTTGTGACCAATTCGTGATAACTTTCAACACAGAGATGCAAAATTCAACCTTGAGATAACACAGTATCATATAAGGCTATTTTTTAGCACATCTTTTTACTACGTTGTAAGTAATAAAACATTTTTAATCCACAATGTATGAATAAATGAGTAGCACGTTTCTCATTCACCATAACTAAGACATTGAATACCTGCATAAGCGTATTAACCCTCGTTAATTATACATCCTAATTTACAAACCACGATCATCCACGTACGTCGTTGTATATAATAGCGTACCAAGTGTGTCTTTGGCAAGGCCGACGTGGATGTATGGCAAGGTTAATACTATTACAGCGTTTGATTGCTGTTGGAATTTTATTTGCAGTCTGTTCATATCTTGTATTAGTCAAAACATTTTACAGGGATGTTCTGAATAATGGGGCGCAGAAGGGTGAGTTTGTGACGAACTTTGCTCTACTTTGGTTGCAGAATGTTTTGATTTCTTCTTCTCCTTTTTCTTTCTCTTTCGGGCCTGTCCCTTTTCAGGGGTAGCCACAGTGGAGTATACGTCCCTATCCACACCGGTGTCATGTACCGGAAAGTCCCCTGTGACAGAGAGTCCGCTTCCCATTACTTTGTACAGGTGAGCCTCGCCCTAGATTTTGGCCCACTTTTAAAAGTCAGACTAACCCTTACCATTATAACTATTATAGGACCATTCAGATTGAGAAGAGCCGAGTGCTAGTAAATATGGCCGACCTACATGAAAGGAAGACCGCTTAATCCTGTAATGGTCTCTCTGCCTCTCACACGCCTCCCCACACGTTGTCTCTCGACCGGTTGAATTGAGCCGAGATTTAATTACTGTGCCCCTGCAGGGACGTGGGGAGGCTTGCTTTGTTACCGAGTTTTGTCGTCCCTAGAATCTCCCTCACCTTCTCATTTCTCACTCTGTTCTTGCGTGTAATCCTTAATGAAAAGCGTATCATCCTCATCTCCGCCACTTCAATTTTCTTTTCTTGGTTTCTTGTTATTGGCGCCGTTTCCTTCCCATATGTAGCAAACATGTTCTTACGAATGTCCTGTATACCTTTCCCCCAGTCTCTCTGACGTGTTTCTGTCACATACCACCGCTGTAACTTTTCTGCAGCCATTCCGCCCTTATATAGTTGGCGTCTTGATCCAGTAGTGAAAAATCAAGTCTTTAAAGGAACCGAATACACAAAACTTGTCTGGAACCACCGTGACTTCAAGTACAGTGTAATTAGCTTTAAAACACGAATTCATGAATTCATGAATCTATATTCATGACACATCTTGAATCAAGTAATTGCTTCCATAATAAGATAATATACATGTACATGTATAAGGCCTACAATGGTTTCTTAAACAACAATGTGAATCTAATGAAACATTCCCTTTGCGTATTTCAGCCTACTCCTCAGATCTGAATGGAGATTTACAGATAGAAAAGAATCAGGTAACATTTTTATGAAACATGTCAAATCCTTAAAAATTTAACCTCTGAAAAATTTGTATACGCGTTCGGGGAATTGCCAGTGCGTTATAAATCGACCCAGTAACTTTAGGTGCACTGATATGTCAAGCAATTTTGGGTTATGAAATATTTACTGGATTGAACAGATTTTTAAAGACAAGGCGACTACTATCAATGATATGATATGATGGATTCCCAAATCTGTAAAATATACACATGTAAAACATTCCCCAGCAAGTCATTATACTGTATGTGGCGAAGTCGTCTTTATCTTTTGCTGTTAAGCGAGGTAGCAAATACAACTCAGTTATAATATTTCTTATTATTTATTTAACTACTTTCCAGTTGTTACCCGCGCCGCCTTCGTTTCTGTTTCTACCTCATGCATATCTCGACCTTCTCCCTCGTTTAAAATACATTCTGCGTTTAGGCCGACGAGGTCATGTCAATCAACTCAAGTTACTCTACAAAACAATCCCCGCTCCTTATTCACTCGTGACTGTCAATTACTTACAAATTATCTCCTTGCTCCCTCAGGGTGGCGGGGGCTTACCGGCATGAAGGGTATCTCTGTGACTTAAGCCTGGGGACATTATTCATGTTTTTTAAAGAAGGACTCCAGTCTCCAGTCATTTACATTGTTCTGATGTAAAACCCTGGTCCTCACACGATTTATCGAACGTACCTGGGTCTGTTGTCTAACTCCATGTTCCCGTTAACCACTGATTCAGACAAAAACATCTATGTAAATAATGTTTTAATTAGTCACTCAGGTAGTTGGCAATGCAGTTCCACATAATGTTGATTTTACTTACGAGGGGATAGTAGGTACAGGAAAAGGTACTATTCTACGGATTATTCGTAGTACCATCGTCGATGGCACAGGGGGTAACCTTGGCGTAATCAGAATTTAAACCTCATGGTATTAGGTTCGTTACCAGCGTTAGAGCTTCACCTTTTTCTTTTATTAGCGTGTATTTGAAATATTTTATTTTCAAGACAAAGGGTCCAGGTAAATACACCAGGTAATGCAGCCATCACTGTGTCACCGTCAGTGGCGCAATGGGTAGCGAACATGGTTCCGAAGTCGTCTTTGATGCCGATGGAGACTCGAAGGCGCCTAGGAATAGCCTAGTAGTGAGCAAGGAGTAGGAATAAAAATCAGAAAATCAAATAAGCACTGAAAATTAGGAAAGTGTTTTAAATGCAGTGCCATAAAAATACTGATTTCTTTTTCAAATTTTTATGACATTTCCAGTATGCATGGTTTAAACAAATTAAGAGATTTCTTTTCAGACAAGAAGGGGTCAAAGCCAACCTACGCATTCTCAATTGGAAATTGTGGAACTCAGAAATGTGTCTGTTTATGGTAACCACCGACAAAAGAAAGGTACAAAATGCTTCGCTTTATCTCTTTCTTACTTATTTTTCCCTTCATTCGGCCTGTTCTCTCTGTGTGTGTTTCTTTCTCCATCTTTCTTAGACGTTTGGCATTTGTATTTAATATCTAACTATATAGGCCTATATTAGATATTAAATACAAATGCCAAACGCCTTGAATAAAACGAGACAATACCTTTACTGTTTACTCGTAATGTTTCAAACCCTTGCATTAAGTTTTACAGTTGAAGTCAATGCTGATTTCTATAGTTTGAATCAAATATTTCAAAGGAAAGAAACTACGTTATTTAAAAGGATAACTGATTACGTGACTTCTATACTATGACAATTTAGTTAAATTGAAAAATTGCTTTCATGTGCCTTTGTCACCATGAGATTGTAAAATATATAACATGAACTGATTTTCAGGTTTTCTTACCATTGGCATCCCGTCTGTCAAACGACCAATGGGAGCCGTGTATCTGTTGCAGACGATTACTTACATAATAAACAGGACGTCTCCAAGCGAACAAGAGAACATTGTTTTATTGGTATTCCTGGCAAATTTTGATACAAAATACAATGAAAATGTCTTGAAAATTTTAAGCGCCAAATTTGATGACTACATCAAAAGTGGATTTATTCTAGTGTTGCAAGTCCCGGAAAACAACTACCCCCCATTAGAAAATTTGAAAAGGAATTATAATGATTCGCCAGAGAAAGTAAAATGGCGGTCAAAACAGAATGTTGATTATGCTTTTATGTTTCTGTACGGAAAAAATATTTCAGAATACTATATTCAGATTGAAGATGATGTGATTCCCGCCCTTGGATTCTTCAAAGACATACGTGACTTTATTTTAGCAAATGATAAGGAGCCATGGGTATGCTTAGAATTTTCAGTTCTTGGATTCATAGGGAAATTGTTTAAGTCCAAAGACTTGGAGAAACTTGCGAGGTTTTTGCTTTTATTTTATGACGAGCAGCCTTGTGATTGGCTTATTCTCCATTTCCTAATGTCAATGACTCAGAAGGAACATATCTACCACAAGCAGTCATTATTCCAGCATCTGGGTGAATGGTCTTCTTCGGAAGAAAAGTCGAGGAAGGGACCTAAAATATTTCTTGACATTTACTTCAAAGACGTTAAAAATAATCAGACAATAAGTACAAAAGGAAAAGTGAAAATTAAAATCCCTCGTTGAAATTCTCCTTAAGGTACGTGGTTCTAAATTTGTCGTAGTGGGCATGGCATTAGTATTTGAATTTATTGGGCTTTAACATAGAAGGGAGCTTTCAACGTGGGGGATCACATGAGTTAATTTTGTTAATTTTGACTAGAATCTTGCTGTCATTATCATTATGCCAATATTGCAGAATTACGCTCATATTTTTTGTCGTGATCTTGTGTTTACTCTCGAGTAAATATTCATCTTTGCATCAAAACAGTAGAAGAATGATGTTTAGTAAATAACAGTTTTAACCCTCATCCACCTTTCAGGGGCCTCGCAGGCCCGGACCCATGTATCTTTTGCTCTCTCTTCGTTCGCATGAAGTTTTGAGCCTGTTCCTTTCATGTAATCCTCAAGCAACTTATACTTCATCAGTGGATAAATAATTAGTTTTGAAATAATTTACACCATATGTAGAAATTAACTTTTCCAAAAGTTAGTCCCATTTCCTGGAAACCGGGCCTCTGAGGACCGTCCCTTGATAATTTTACTTCCACATGGGAGCATGTGTATATAAGATATGTGATGCATTTTGGGTTTTACATTTGTGTGGAGCTTTGTTCATACAATGTCTAGAAATGTATATAGAATAAAATAGAAATCTGCCTGTGAAAGATTCAAGACCTGGAAAAATTATTATTTATGACTAAGATCTAATAAACGGTATATTAGATCTTAGTTTATGAGTAATCGGTCACCTTGGTCACCTTATATGCAGATATCAGTTTAAATCTATCATTATTACATACCTGATAGCTTGCGCTAGCTTTGCGAAACTTCCCATTTTGAGAAAAAAAAAAGATTTTTCCGCATGTTCCATACACAGTGTATACTCACCCAGGTGGAGGTAAAGCGAGCAAGGGACCGGTGTAACATGAAAATCTGACTCCCCCCATGAATATTTGACTCCCCCTCCACAAAACTCACAGGATAAAGGCACAGGATATCGGTATTTAATTTCAAACACCCGTACTGAATATAACGCGTACGGAAAAACATGTCAATTCTTATGATGCATTGGCCAACGAAACTGAACCTTTATCTGCAAATGCATGGGTTCAAGCAGTGACCTATTTCATTCAATACTTAATCTGGGTTACACAAGGTCTTACGCTTTAAACTTAGACTAATCAATCATTACATTTACAAAGGTCTTAAAGGTACATTCGAACTGAGCATCGGTGGAGCGTGGATTCCCAGTAAGTAAACCACTTCTACTAGTTTCATACGACACAAATAAATTTGACATGCCAAGGGATAAACTGAATAGATCACTCAATCAGCCATAAAAAGCTTTAGACTGCTCCTCTGTTTAATTTTTTGGTCAGAAATTTAACCTACTTTCGTGACCTACTTTTCTGCCCCATTGACATACAGCATAGAATGCTAGCAGAAAAATTCGTTCAAACATCATTTTTGGGTAAAATTAAACAATGCCTTTTGGTAATTCTCTTAGTTATACTACTTGAAACTATATGCTGGCATTTGGTCGGTTTTTGTGGCAAAAAAAGACTTTGTATGCATCTTTAAGCATAACACTGCATATTTTACAAGGTCTTAACAATCAGAAAAAGTGACAAGCCATGCTTAGACAAGTCTGCCCCTTTTTTACGTGGCAAGTTCGCCCCGTGGGAGCGTATGTCATAACTGTATCTTTGAAGGAGACGAGAAAACGACGCTTTCATTCTTTAATGTAACTAGGCCTACTTATTAAATTAAAACCTCTCAGAATAATCAGAGGTAGATAATCTGTTGTTAAATGACAAACTAAAGATAGAAAATGTTCTTTAGAGTTTTGTAATATTGTTGTAAGTCTATGTTTTTGTCAAGTAAAATGTATAGAAATGGATAAAAGTACATTGTGTACGAACTTGCCCCCCAGGGTATGCGGATTTGCCCCGGGATGGGGAAAGTTCGCACACGTGGACAAGAGATTTTAAAATTTACTCTTATAAAAAATTGTGGACTTTTGACACTTATATATGTACCACGATGTAAATGAAATCCCTTCTAATAATAATCAATAGGGGCCTGAATGTTAGTATTCCTACATTTTTATAAAAAAAACTAGCCCCGCCTTTTCCTATTGTTTTCGATGTCAGTTCATTACGGTTACGGTTGTCTGCACGGCTACAATATTTGGCGTGCAAGCCCTGACACGCACAAAATGCTTAAAATGATAAGCCTATACCTCAGGTGAGCGAATTTGAAATGAGGAGAGAGCACGCTCGGCAGTCAGCTTGATTAAAAAAAATACAGAGGACTTCTGACACTTATACATGTACCACGATACAAATTAAATTCCTTCTAAAAATAAATCAATAGAAGCCTGAATGTTAGAATCGGTGGCAGTCTTCACTTTCCCCATCAAGGAACAAAGACCTCGGTTGACCTCTTAAGGTCAACATCCGGGTGTTAGTGTATTTGTATTACTACAAACCTCGGGGTCAATGCAAAAATGCCGGTCCAATGGCATGGCATCATTCCATAAAGCTTTTTTTAAGGCGCCTGAGGGTTACTTTTGTTTCACAAGCTCTTTTTTTACTGACTCTATGGGAGCATATAAGGGGATTTATCGGCATTCATGTTTAATGCTTTAATCGATTTTGAACATTTCTGTTTTATTCATCAATCAATTTTAACCCCGCCCCGACCCCCGTAACAGGGCGGGGAATTAACCAGCCATGCATAGTTTCAAGTCTGTATTTCCCCGGGGATTTCTTTCTTGTTAAACCCCCGGTACTATGCCCCGGCGTTCTGTAGATATGTTCGATCTTTATAATTAAAAAAGTTTTGAATTCATATTTTTAGTGTTTGTAGTATAAACATGTACCATCAGCATGTAGGCCTACTAGTAAGTCAATGTCCATATCGTGTGGATGATAAAGCAATTAAAATACTTAAGTTCAGGCCTAGTTTCTTCTTTGAAAAGATATCTGCAAATGACAGCAAAGGATACTCTCCACCAGGTCCACTGATTGATTTTTCACTAGATATTCCCAGATAATGTATGGCTAAATGTGGTCAGTCTTCTAACTGTGACCCTGTTATGAAATATCTAGGTTGATCACATGGCTGGTAATTGTTTGCATAACAACTAAGGAATTGCCACTTAACTATGTAGGCCTACTGGTAAGTCCCCCCGAAAACAATATAAGACAGCTCTAAATTTAATCACTTGCTCTTTAGTGACAGATAAAAACAGCCCCAACTGAATAGCTTGTTATTTAATTCAGATTTAAGTTAACTGAGGAATAGTAGTTCCCTACAGAGCGGGTATAATATATGCCATCTGCGCGACTGCAGATTTAATTGCTTTCATCTGTCCAAAAGTAACAGGATGAGCAAAGGTGTAGTAAACCGCGCGTACGAACCCTGTCCTTTTCGGTGCCCACTATACTGCCGGTTCAAAGTTAGTTAGTAATTCCCCCGCTAACTGCCAGAGCCTTTTTTTTTTGGCTTGCGATAAATTTTGTAAAATTCTCCGTCCACCCGTGGAATCATGCTGTAAAATCGTTATTAAATCCCCACTAGGATTCACTAAATGTCCCGCAGGTGGCGGGGAACCCTCTACCAGGGCCACAGATTGATTTTTCACTAGATATTAACAGATATTATGTCTCTGGTTAAATAGATGACTAATCTCTGTACTGTGACACATGTCAACAGTATAAAACAGCTGCAACCCTGGTAGAGGGTATCGGGGGGGGGGGGTCGGGATTTTAATTGGCAGGTGCTTTCTGGTAGACTAGTATGGCATACTGAGGTCGTTTTATGTTGTTTTTAAGTTTAAGCTCCCGGTTTTTAAATCATCTAGTGAGTTTACGACAATCGTTTTCCAACCAATCAGACTTACTGCCGAGCGTGGACGAGAGATAAGTAAGGTCGTTACTTCGGCATTGAACTTGATATGGCTAGAGAGGGCCGGATGTACATCAAATTTGTTACCGGTTGTTTATTTTACATGTTATTGTTTACCGTATACTTTCTCTATATGATATTAGGTGATGACGACAGTGTAGTCACGATAGGTGAGTATCTGGTAGTATGAAGGCTATCATTATTTGGTTGCAGAGGTGGCTTTGTACTGTAACGCATTTCGTGTTCTCCAGTAGTTGGGTGAACTCTGGTAGGTCTATATTAAATGCCTCCCTCTTTTCCCTTAACGTGATGCACAGCTGCACCGGCTGCACGTTGCTCGGTACTTATATTAAATGCACAACAGGTATACTGTTGAAAATAGGTACGAAATTTATGTGAGGGTCATCAGTTTGTTCTGATTGTATAGCAGTTGTCTCCCTGCTAAAGAAACTAGGCCATTGCAATGCATTATGATAAAAAGTTAGAAAGCGTACCAGCTAGAGACCGATGCAATAAATGAGTGCTGGTTAGCGAAGTGAGGGCACTTGTTGTCTTACTGTAAAGGATTATCATCCAGATACCGAAAATTAGGCTAATGATTCAATAATGTGTCTACCTTTGAGCTGATTATAAACAATATAATCCCCTCGAAAAAATAAAATATCGGTGTTTATATTCCTCATTGCATGTATCAGCATAGGCTTATATCGTCAATTTAACACCGTATTTTGGGGCGTACTGGTAACTTCATCCCTGAATAGGATTATACCACGATAATTGGCATCATTGAACACAAGTGCATAGGCTACAAACCAGTGCCATAATTTTGGTGTAAATGCCTGTTGTTGTGGAGCTATGAGCCCCTATTTACAGATTTTCATTAAACAAAGGCATTATTTTGCTTTGTCAACAATAAATTCTGAACTAAGGCTTTTATGAAAAATCACAGGCAGGGTTTTGGAGTTCTAAATGGTGTCATTAAATTGGTGTTAAAACAGTGTTCATGGGTGCTCAGGTGAAGGAGAAATTTGAGAAACTGATTTTTCCATTTTTACCCCAAAATTGCAATTATGACGTCACCCCTAAGATGACATTTGCTAAAATGTTAATTAATTTAGTCACTGAACACTGAAGATAAATCTGTTATCCAAAATGATGTTTGTAAGGCAGTAAATAAGGAGTTTTTGACAAAAGCTTACAATATCTTTTACAGCCATAAGTCACCCAGTTTGAGCTGGAACAAGTACTAGTTTCTTCTCAGGCCTAAAGATGTCAGCTGCATGTCACCTTGACAGAGTTTGTCATCTAAAGCTGCACAGGGATTATAACACAGACATCATGTCTGTACATATTAGCCATACCCTGCGTCTGTTGTTGCCATGCAGTTTTACATGAGCAGAAAATTGTTTTATCTTTTGTTTTGACTTTAATAAGTATTTATTGAATACAAGTTGAGCTCGAAAATTAGCTTTTTCAAGGGCTTTGCTTTTTTTATGCTTTTTTCAGCATAGGTGCAAGACAGATAACACATTAAGTGAAAATCTGTTGACCGATTGCCTTCAAAAGGACAGGAGCAATTGTTTTTTTTTTTTTTGGAAGTTATGCTTATTTTTTTTGTGAAGTGTTCAACTTTCACATTATGGCATTTTTGAGCTGTGGTTTGGAATTTCCATGGACCTGAAGGCTATTGCTAGTAACATTTCCTGAATATCCATGAAATGTATATTATATATTTTTAAAATTTAGTGATTTTGCTTTTAAGCATTATGTTATATTGCATCAAAATTGAAGAAAATGCTGTTTGGGCACTGCTGCTATAATGATCATTTAAGGAAAGCCATGTTAGACTGGGTTCCCATACCTAGATTGATCCATCTGGATCAATCTAGCTCCCTGGGGAGTCTCACTAATTGCTGTCAACTAACCGGCTTACACGTCTGTCACGCCTACTGAATCAGCTAGGGGATAAAGATAATTACCCCCTAACAGCTTTACTAGGCGTGACAGACATTTAAGCCGGTCAAGTTGAAAGCAATTTAGTGAGACTCCCCAGGGAGATAGATCGATCCAAATATCTGTGGGAATGGTCCCTTACTTATGATGCTCTAACTTATAGAAAAGATTCATAGGACTGGAATACAGTTTGAATTTGAAAAACAGCCTGATTGAATTCTTTTTCTAGAAGTATTGCAATTCTTGTGCAATGTTGATTTTAATTTAATTTTTCAGATATTGGCATTTTCAAATTTTTTGTTAATTTTTCATTTTTCAAACACCGTTTTTAAGATGTGACTTTTAACTCCCATCCACCTGGATCTGTAGTACTTAGGAATATTGTCTG